GCAAGTGAATTTATGCTTGATATATTTTTGTTCACTCTTGAACAGATATGATATCGACGATATCCAGTGTACAGCGGAGCTGTGCGGAGTTCGGCGGAGATACCGTACATACGCTATACGTGTGAGCGAAACAACACTCTTTGCTGTGTTTACATTTCTATTGTTCAATACACATCTAAGTAGCCATGAGCGCACTGCTTCGGATATAGTGTATGTATGGCATCTCCGCCGAACTCCGCACAGCTCCGCTGTGCACTGAATTTCTCCGCAAATGGTTCACATGGGTTGTCGATCCAGAATAAATGGTCATTTAGCTCACGGACATCGTCCAAATACAATCTAAAGAATAAATGACAAAAAAACTAAAAATGAACCCATAAAAAACTCTGCAAATTTTTATTTTTCTCTTCAAAATATTTTTTTTTATTTATTTCCATTAAAAAAAAAGTTTCAACGTCAACAGCATTGTATCATCCAAATCGTGTAATTAATTGGCATAAAGTCGTGATTCGGTTGCGACAGCAATGCCATAAAGGAGCTTATTTTCTAATTTCTTCCATCCTTCATTCTGTGCCGTTTCAATGTCGTGCAGGAATGCCCTCAGTATGGGCTGTGCGATGAGGTAGCGTGAATGTTCCTTCAAAAATAGACCTAAATAACTTTGTGCTAATTCAAAATTACTATTCGACACCAGCATGTGATGGATCATTTTCATGAAATGCAACATGACTGTATCGTTACCGCCGGCATGCGGATCGAGCGATTTGATTTCAAAGTCGACCATCGATGGGCCGAGTGCGGTAATATGTTGAACACAATTTGTAAAATCGTTTGTCTTAACGCTATCATCCAGACAATGGCCGAATTTCGTTAGATTTGAAAAGTGATTGGGTTGATTGAGTTTGGTAATTTCCTTCGTTCCACTTGCATCCTGCTTCTGATCAGACAGATCAAATTGAAAATCAAGTCCGGCGACTGTGGGTAAGAAGAAATTGGCATGTTTTGGTTTATATAGCGCCACCTTTGGTCGGTTTCGCTTTTTCACTGTGTCTAAATTGAGTAGATTTTGCCACCTGGATGCGGCTAGCGTTGACATTGTGATCAGGCTACTGTCGATTTGTGTCGGTGTTTGATAAGTTAAGCTATCAATTTCTGGCTTAACATCGATACCAATTTCATCACGTTCAACCGATGAATCGGTCGAGTCGGGTAAATCAATTTTCGGTGGCGTTGCAAATGGATCGATCGATGTGATGGACACGTGGGTGAACAACGATTTATTGGCCCAAGTGTATATGCCCAATTTGTTAACGTGTGCCGTGGATAGAAAATCACCATTTGGCGATACAGTCAATGAAATGCACGCCGTTTCCATTTGGAAATGATCAATCATATACGCAGATGGGATATCGTACACTTTGATCGAACAGTCCATCGATGCGGTGATCAACCAGCGACTGTCTGCACTGAACGCTGCATCGGTGATTCGAGCTGTGTGACCGGCAAATTTACGAACAATCGTCTTTGTCTCATAATCCAATACGTTTACGGTGAAATTGTCGAGCACGACACAGAGCAGCGCATTCTCCGGATGCGCACGGAACATTGTGATTCCGGTGGATAAAACTAATTTTGTGTGTGGCAAATTGGTTTTTTCACTGAAATTCCAGAATTTCAACACACCATCACTGTCACCCGATATGACCGTTTGATTTAAGCAATCGCTGTGCACACCACGGACGGGCGCCTTGTGTGCCACCTTCTTTCCACCATACGATGCACGATGTATACCTGACTGTATGTTGAATCGCTCCACATCACCGCCCGAATAACCTAGGATGAAGAGATGAAAAATTAGATTTTGAATTTGTTTTTTTTTTGAAGAAGAAGAAGAAGAAAAAGAATGACATATATTTTTAAAATAAGCAATCGATTTTGAGGATTAACGATTTGTGTCTTTGATTTTTTTTAACAAAATCGAGAATTTTAACAGCTTTTAAAAAAGTGCCCAAACACTCGGAACAAAATCATCGACAGATGAACATTCAATTCAATATTAATTATAGGACAGTTTCTAGGCAGAGGCACTCAAATTGATGGTACCCACTCCTAAACACTCATCAGCCCAAAACCTTAAAATGTCGACATTATTTTACTCTACAAATTCTTACCAATTATTACAAAATTTCCACAATGCGTCAACGAAATGCATGTGGCTTCTGCATTGAAATCGGTTCGATTTTTATTTTGGTATTTTTCCGGCACCAGTCGCACTTCACCCATTTTACAGCGATTGAACGACCATGTGGTCGTCACCACTAAGCCAGAATGAATAGCCGCTATGTTATCCCATTCCTTTTCACGCGTACACTCGCTCGTAAACTCAACGATTGGCGGCATTTGAAACGGATCCTCTTCCATTCGATCTGCGATTTTTTTTTTTATGGAACAATTTTTAATTAATGATTGGACTCATTTGAATTTATTGATTGCATTATCCATAAAGAATATTATGAATAACATAATGAATTAGCTTGAACTATAAACACTACTACTATAATAGATTTACTATAGATATTGTTATTTGTAATGACGAGTGGCGGTCATAACGTCCCGGATAGCATACTCTAATAGAAACATGCTGTCCGCTCAGAGCATCATGTCCTCCACTCGTAATTTCTATTTGTCCAATAAAGATTGATGGAAACATTTTCGAATCTTACTTCGTTTCTTTGATGCTTTCCGATTGTAACTGGCACGACCGAAACTTTTGTTCAGTGTTTCCGAAATCGTACTAATGGCACGCAACGATGAATCTTCACCAGAAGACAAAATCCGGCTTCCATTTGCACCGTAATCTGAAAATATTTCAGGAATAAAATAAATTTGGCGAAAAATTGAAAAAATGATAAAACTTGAACAAAGGTCAGACAAATTACAGAAAAATTGTTCATTTTATCGGAAATAATAAGAAAAATTGTATGCCTGGATGGTTAAAATAACAATTAATTTTCACAATAAATATCAATATTTGATATTTTCTAATTCATGTCAATAATTGATGCCCAAAAGATGGTATTTCATGTGGATGACTTACATTTAATACATAACGGTGGTGCCGAATGTCCTTCTCGGATTCGAAGCAAACGAGCTCTTCCGTCGGGCAAATCGAAGATCCTACGAAAAAATACGAAAAATTGATTAGAATATACCAATTGAGAAAAAAATGCTTTGAATATAAAACACAATTGTTGGCCAAAATCATCGAATCGAGAGCAAAAACAATGAAGAATCGTTTCCTTCCATTATTCCTCATTAATTTGTCATCAATTAAATTTAAAAAAAAAACCACTAAAATCCCTCCTTACCACAATTTAATCGAATTATCGGCTGATGATGTGAACAGCAATGGTTCATTGGTCATGCAAGCGGCGCTGGCGATGCTCTGTGTATGTGCTTGGAATTGATTAAAGATGACTTTTTCTTCAAGATTCCAAACGACTACATGTCCATTTGTACTGCCAGTGATCATGAATGGTTGGTTATCAGTGCGAAAGGTGATGGAAGTGACTGGTCCCCAGTCTTGTTTGAATTGCATCACCACTTCATCGTATTTCAAATTGAGCAGCGTAATTCCGCCATCAGCCAAACCAACGGCAATCACATCAATGGCTGGTGCTGGTTCAAGAACAGTAACCTTTGAGTGGAAGGCTTGAAATGTGTGTACCAGTGCGGATTTTTTGATATTCCACAGTTGCAACACGCCTTGTTCACTGCCCAGCAAGATTTTGTTGAGATACGTCGGTGGATGACACACGGCCGTAATTTTAAATTCATTGTTATTGAATGGTATTTCACAGAATTCCGTTTCATTTTGCACGTTCCACACTTTCAACAAACTGTCCGCATCGATGGAGATGAGATGCTGCACACCAAACGGTAACAATAGATACACTTTCTTTTCATGACCCTCGAAATGATGGCGCACAATGTTCCCAGCACGCCATGCAAATATTTGCGAACCAGCCGCCGTGTACACAAACCGATTGTCCGATGTGATTGCGGTGATATCCTCGGGATGCAGTCCGCTCACACAAATTAACCGAAAATGATTGGCACTGTACACGTGAAACACCCGACCAATACTCGTTATTATGATGTTTTCTTGGCGCCGTGTTGCAAATCGCACCGTTGCCGGCACATGATTACATATCAAACCCAACGAACGATGCCGCTGGAACAATTTACTATTGGGCATCTCAGTTTTTTCCACACAATTCGATCGATATCGCAATTCAGTTCAATTTCAATAAAAGAAAATTCGGCCCGGTCAAACTGTTTCACAATATTTCAGTTTTGATTCACATGTGTTTCTTTTTGATTTTGACACATTTAACACGTGAAATGTGTGACAGTTGAACCATGATGGTGTGCATTGGTTGTTGTTTATGGTGTGAATTGGCGTGAAGTTCACCACAGTTCGATTGAAACTCAACATGAAATGAGCTGCAATAGTTCGACTGAAATTAATACGCATTTGATGGAGAGACGAATATTGATTCATTTTTTAAACGGAAAAATTGACGAGGAATTTTTTCATTGATTTTTTTTCTCTAAATTTTGCATTTTTACGGCATTTAAATGAATTCTTTGATTTTCGATGAGTTTTTTTTTACCTTTTTCATCCTCTTCTTCTCCTCCATCGTTCGTCTCATTTGTAAATGTATGCGAAGTACGGACACCACTCATTGTTGCTACTCAATATTCGCCACATGAATGGAGACGCCCCGTTTTTTCATATTGATTTGGTTATCCGATGAAAAAACCCGTTTTTTTTTTGTTATTGTTTATGTGTATTCAATTCGTGGAATAATTTCAACCCCCTTATATGTACTGAGTAGCGGTGCTTTGCGCATGCCTGTATTTCGTTTCCCTTTGAACTAATGCAATAATAGACGTTTTACACCACCGAATCGTGTATTATGTTTCCCTTCATGGTACACAAGAGTTGAGAGGGACAAGCAAACCAGAGTGCATTTTTTTGTTTTCGAAAATCCAAGCCAAATGCAATTTCGTTCATTTAAGATTGGTCAATTAATTTGCTGTATCAATCCAAAACGACACACAATTATCGACGGTTTAATCTGATTTCGTTAATTGGATTTTGGTTTTTTAAAACGAAATTGAAAAGTTATCGACTAGAAAATTCCGTGAACATGACGTCGATGGCATAGAGCACACACCATGAATCTGTGCAATTGGATTGAAGGGAAAAAATCAATAATCACCAAAGCATACGACTCGTACTAAAAGCAGGTAAGAGTGTGATTTTTCACAACAATTTTCTTTTTTCTTCGAATGTTTTTTTTTCTTTCTGTCGTAGATAAAATCAAAAAAAAAGTGCAAAAAAAAACGAGAATAGAACCAACAAAAATACACTTGTTAGTTCCACTTGAACACCAAACCAGAAAAAAAAAGAAATTTTCTTCAGTTCTTGTTGAATCCTATATTTTGCTTCATAATTTTTTATTCTCAAACCACATACACAAAACAATAACAAATCTCTTTTTTTTGGTTGTTTTTGACATTTTTGTTAGACACTAGATTTTAACTTGTGATTTTTTTTTTGTTCGTTTTGGTTTCTAACACCATATTACCTAATCTCTAAATGGATTGCAAAAAAAAGACAAATTTTTTAATTAAAATAAAACTGTTTTTTGTTTGCATTCGTTATATTGAAAATGCGGCATATATTTGATTTTGGGAATAGTTTGCTTTAGGACACGAGCGGAATATGAACTTCAACACACACTCAAATCTTTATCTCGCACACAATGATGTGATCTCTCAAAAAAAAAATTCGACAAATACAAAGCATTCATGTTTTGCCTTTCGGCCCAAAATCTTTTTTTTTTTTTTGAGCCGAAAACCACATCTGAATCGAAACTGAGCAAATAACTCAACAAAACCATACAAATCACAAATGTCTTCCATTTATTTGTGAACAATTTTAGTCTTAAGCATATTTATATATATATATATATTTGCGTATACACAAAAACAAACGTGACATGTAAGAATTGTAGAGCGATTCCAATTGCGCCTACATTGAACAAAGTCTTCCATTTTATACATAAAACACAAAGAACAAATTCAAATCTAAATCTTAATAAATATTGCAATTGTTTTAACTATTCAACGTCATAAATATTTGAACTATTTTACATTCGACTATTTTATACTCGATCCATTGTTGCATTTTTTTTTCTTTCTTCATTTCATTATTGAAACAAAACAAATTGAGAAACGACACAAATTTAATAAAAACTATTCAACGATTCTTCAAATTTATAAATAAATAAAACGTTGAAACGTGGCGAGTACCCAGGTACGTCGACCGAATAAAACATAAATTAATTCTGTTGGAATAGAAAATTCGATGTTGCCATCGAAGTAGAAGAAAAATAATCGATTTGTCAGTCGAAGAACAATTCTTCGGTCAAAAAACGATTTTTCAATCGAAAAAAGAAGAAAAATTAGATTCATCATCTAAATAGACCGGAAATTTCGATTTGAACGAAAAAAACTTCTAAAAAGTACAGAAAAATTCGATCGATGAATCAAACGCCGAAAAAATCGGTTAAAGAAGTAAACCCCAAAAAAAAACTTCGATTGACAATAAGATCAAAGAATCGATTAAAGCGCAAAAAATCGTTTAAAACACAAAAAAAAATCGATTTTTTCGAAAAAAATTCCATTCAATAATCGAGCAACGTGCAAAGTTCAATTTGTTGATCGACACAAATTTCCCTCTCTCACACGCACACACAAACTCTAAATTCGGTTACAAAAAAAAACAATGGAAAATTTGCGAAAACAGCCTGGTAAAAAGTTGAAAAATGTAAATGCAAGCCAATTGTCATTGGCTGCATCGTCAACGTCCACGGCTGCCTCATCATTTGCCTACAAGCATTTCAATTCGACCAACAATAAACGTCGAAAAAATCGTAAGAAATATTTCGAGCATGATACGCGAACGCGTACCATTCGAACGTCGGTTACACCGGTTGATGCGGCGGCAGCCATAAAAAAGATCAAATTCAATAATGAAATTCGTATCGTTGAAACGAAATGTAATAATAATGATGTGGATAGTAGGGTTAGAATGCGGAAGAAAAAAGTGGCCAACAATCGAAAGCATACATGCAACAACACCACCACCACCATTGCCGCCAACACCAATACAAATGCACAAAAGAAACGTGCAAAACAGTTTCGTCGCACGGCGAGTGCAGCATCGAATGCCGCCAATATTCAATCAACGACGAAAAAATTGCAAAAACAATTGATTGAAACGCAAAAAAAGTTGCAACAACAGCTGAATGCCCTGCAAAAGCATCAACGCGAACAAAATCATTCGTTTCTTGCGCTGCTTCATTCAAATTGTGCATCATTGCGTCCAAGTGTTAAGCATGATACTAACAGTAATGGTTGCACTACCACCACCGCGACCACCAACAGCAACAACAACCACCACCACCACCATCACCAACACCATCATCACAACGACCAACTAACCCAAGCGAACTCCTCACAAACCCAATCCACATCCATTGCGCCGTCGACTTTGCTCACAAAAACAAATCTAAATCCAACAATCCCATGCTCTGAACATTATTTTACACACAATTTTTTTACGGATCAAAGTAAATGCTCAATCGATAAAATGGCAAACGGAAACAAAGCCACGGCTATTAGGTAATCCGAATGAACTCATTTCAATACATTTTGACAAAACTTATACTCTCTATCTCTATCTATCATTGTCTGTTTCTATCTTTGGTTTTTCTTTATTACCATATTTCTTTTCCGTTTGAAATTTCAGGCTCGTTTTTCTTTTTTTTTTTTTTCAAAATAAATTTCATGCATATTTTGAATTGTTGCCTTCTAGTTGCGTCTATTTCTCATTTTCTTTTCCGTTCGATTGTGTAGCCGTACAAGTGAAATTACCGCCACCGATGCACATGTCGTACTTATATTTAACAAAACGATCATATGCTCTTTCTTTTCCGTCGCTCATTTTATTTTCTACTTTTTTCGCCTTCGGTGTCATTGTCTTGATTTGTCGGTGTATACTTTTTTATTCATTGAAACATTATTTGGTTTAAATCGATATTACTTCTGTTTGAACGAACATTGCTTCCTGATGTGCATGATAGTTTTTTTCTTTTGTTTGTTTGGTACTTTTTTTTTCGTCATGATTCAAACCAGTTCCAAATCATGCAACTCTCTATTCAATTCAGTCAGCACCACCACTTTATGATTTATCGATTATTGTTTTTATGTTGACAGTTTTTTTTTACATTGTTTTCGTCCTTTTTTAGCACTACATGAAATGTAGGGCTATTTACTTGTTTTCATTGTTTCCAATTGTGTTTGTCCTATGTTATATACGCCGGTTTATTCGTCAAATGTGAAATACAAAGCAACATAAAGACAAAAATGAAAAGCAACGTGATTCATCGCTCTGAACACACTCGGCATGACGTTTTCTTCGTTCGAATCATAGCAGAAGAACGATTCTTCAAGGTTATGAAGAAAATTCATATAAGAATCATCATAAAAAAATTGAAACGCTTCGAAACTTCGAAACATGGTCTTCGAGTAAAAAAATTTGAACGAAATCTTCGAGAAGAACGCGATTCGGGCAAAATCTTTGAATGAAACACGATACGAACGGTATAATAGCTTTGATAAGGAACATCGTTAAGAAAGGAAAGAAACGAGCAAAAGAAACGTCGTCATCAACATTGACTCAATATATTGTTCTATGGAGCTTCAATAGTGATTGGCGAATAATGGATGGCTTCAAATGAGATATCGTTATAGAAACGTTTCCAGGAAACGTCGTTGAAGAACGAGCTTCGAATGGAACGCTAGTTGAAATGCAACACTTGACGACGTTTTAAGCAAATTGAGACATGTATCCCAATGAAATGTGTCAAATTTCATCGAACCGAGCGTAGAATGTTCTATAATGACCTCTGGTTCGATTACAGCTCGAATCGACACCAAGCTGATTGAGCCTTTTAATCAACGAGTTTATCGATTACATCCTTCATAACATCAGTTTAATCAACGCCACGTGAACCAACGCACACATTAAAGTGTCTAAATGCTGTTTTTACATTATTCTCGGCCAAAACCGATGGAATTCCAAATTATTTGCTTTTCCTTTCTTTTTTGCATTAATTAATTAAACATCGAGTTGCATGTAGACCAAATGGAGACTTGCCATTTTTTTTCGTTCCAATTTTCTCTCAATTACTTTGAGTTTTCCTTTATGTTTGAAATTTGAGTTGAAAGTTCCTAATGGAAACTTTCCATATTCAAAGTTTCCCTTAACATTTTGTCGGGGCAACATGAGAAAAAACAGAAGACATGAAAAAAAGAAGCAAAAGACGTGTGCACCACCGGCTACAGTAATAAGTGTGATTGTAAAAAAAAAAGCATGAAAAGCGTTCAAAAGCTCAACGAGATCGTTAGAAGAAACGTTTCTTCTTCTTCATTTTTTTTTCTGTTGGTTTAAAGAATTTTTTGGTTCGCGTTTAATGTTTTTCGTTCCGTGTAATTAGTTTTCAGTTTGTCTGAAACGAGAATTTTTCCCCCTTCGACCACCAAACCCTCCCCTGTCACACACTCAGAACCAAAAAAAAACCAGAATCCAAACCAAGCAAACATAAGCAAAGCTCATCGCATTTCGTGTTTATTTCTATTCGCAGAGCATTTACTTGTGAATCGAAAAGTAAAAATTGCTCGGTGTCCAGAACAGACCCGGAAGCCAAACTGATAACGTCGCCAAACGCCAATTTGTGCACACATCATCACTGCAGCAGTTGCAGTGCAAAGAGTGTAGCCGCCATCGGAACAGTTGCCGCCGTTGATACCAAAAAGCCAAAGATTCACATTAAAAAGCCATTGTTGAAAAGCATCATTCTCAGCACGAACAATTCAAGTGTGCTGAATATTAAACGGGAAATCGACATCGATAGCAACGAATGCGATCGATCTGTTTGCCCAATTGAATTTCGTTCCACGACACCGATGACTAAAACACCGGATACAAAAACACAACCAATCAATATGCAATTCACTGACACCAAAAAGACTAAGCAAATCAATTCGTACATTAAGTCAAATGACCATTTTGTACAAGAAAATGCACGTTCATATTCGCCACCGCTACCAGCCAACCATCCGAGGTTAGCATCCATTGTATCAAGCGATGCTTCAAATTCCACTGCGGTTGCACTGGCAAATAGCCATGCAAGACGATCACATTCGTCGCGAGATCGGAAATGCAGCAAAAAACGCAAGAAACGACAACGCTCCTATTCAAGAGAATCACGGTCCAGAACACGGTGAGTGGATTCGAAAGTTTTGTTAATTAGGATTTTGAAGAAAATCATGCCCTTTTTTGAGACATTTTGTGAACTTTCTTGAATTTTTGTGAATATTGAAGAACAACTTTTGAGTTAAATCAATCATCTTCACATTTAAACAGGTCATACTCACGTTCACGGTCATCATCACGGTCCAGAACTCGATCAAGATCCAGGTAAGGTTGACTTTTTGATAAAAACGCATCCTTTTATGGAAATTTTTTCTACTTTAACGAAACATTCGTCATTTTTCAAGATTTTCTCATCTTACGCAAGCAATTCGTTCTTGAAAATAATTTCGGCGCTGATTGAAATAACTTTTGGCATAATTCAAACTATTGGATAGAATTTATGCTAAAAACAAAGCAATAATTTTCATTTTGGAAACGCTTTTCTTTTGGAAATCTAGAAAAAAATGCTTTTTTGGGTTTTTCGTTTAAAAAAATCATTAACTTTGCATTGGAATTACATCTTTGGTTTTGTATTGGAATTATAGTTCCCTTCGACCCATTTTTTTTTTTTACTTTTTTCCAAATCAAATTGAAAATGTTCCATTTTAAAATCTGACAAAATCTCCATTTTCTCCACGCAGAAGTTACCGTCGTCGCAGTTCACGATCTCGATCAAGCAATTCCGAATATGAATCGCGGCGTTACAGTCAAGAGCGAAAAAAGAAATCACATTCGAAGAACAGAGATGTCTTCCGACGATCATCGAAACGGGATGAACGAAGTAGTTGCGGTTGCAGCTGCAATTGCACCAATTTCTGCAAAAAATCCGCATCGAAACATTCCACATCTGCAATTAAATCGAAATCACCGTCGAACGACAACGCATTTAGTTCAAAGCAAAGCAACGTCTCACCATCCGATAGCAAAAGCAACAAACGATCAACCACATCAACTGCTGATGCGAATGGTATGGGCGCACTTTTGAAACTGAAACAAATTTCATTGAAATACGATTGAAACAATTTGACCTTCTTTTTTTAAACGTCTTGAGTTCCGTTTCAAATCTCACCCACGTTTCTACGGAATTTTTGTTTTTATTTCCATTTTAAAATGAATTTTGTATCAATTATTGTTTTTTCAACTTTTTTTTCAATTATTTTTTCTGATTTACGTTATAATTTCGATTTTTTTTTTCCTTTTTTTTCTTTTTCTTTTCTTTCTTTTTTGGTTATTTTGTTATTCTTTTCTTTTTCCTTTTTTCTTGCGTCTGTTTCTACTTTTGCTTTGGAAATTACAATTTACCGGATACAAAAACTAAAGTTGTATTCGATTTTGTGTAGGTTCCACATCGAAGAAGAAACCCGTGCCGATCAGTAGCGGTGTTCTGCTTAAACAGCAGCCAATAGTGAAATTGCATTCATCGCCAGCCACTGGAAGTGATACCGAGAATGAGGTCGATGATAAATTCGATCGCAAATACGAAGAGCTGTTGACATTTGAAACGAACGAAGATGAACGCCGTGAACAACGTCTATTAAAAGCATTGTCAGACATTGCGGCAAAAGCAAAGCAAAAAATTCAATCGATAAGTGAATCGAATGTGACCAAAAGTGTGCATGCCGATCGAAATCACAACGATCGTTCGGCATCGAAACCCATTAAAACAATTAAAATTTGTGCGAAAAAGACGAACGATGCACGTGATGATCGTCGTTCCGAGCGACAATCCCCGCAAGAACGATTTGATGATGATTTTTCGCCACACGATAAGAAACCACCCAAACGAGATTCGTCGAAACGATCGCGGCGCGACAGCTACAGCAGCACCAGCAGCAAAGAGGAAAAGTCACCGTGAGTTTCAGTTCATTTTCTGTTTTATTTATTGAAAGAACTTTTTAGTTGATATCGAGACGAGGCGCTTATTTATCATCGCAAGTCAGTACTGTCTCGCACAAATTCATAAAAACTGACTCGCGAGTCCAAACACAGAGAGTACAGCGTATTCATAACAAATTATGCTTCTAATTGCTGGAATGAAGCAAAATAATTGATAAGTAAATCAAATTTGGAATAAAAAAATGTTTTTTTTTTAATTTTTCAGGCGCTCGTCCCGGTCACCGTCGATTCCACGAAGACGTGGATCACCCAGTTTTCTCGATCGACGCCGAATCACGAGGTAATTATCGACTTGCATTCTTATTTCAGAGAAGAAGAAAAATGAAACTCAGCTTTTTTTCCAGTCGAATCAATAATTCGAAAAAAAAAACCATTTTTTCTGCTCGTTTCAGCGCGCGTAAAAAGCCGATTCCATACCAACGATCTTCACCATATGACAGTTTGGACGACGAATGGGAATCATCGTAAGCAGTAAGCGGGCGCTGTGCATCAATGACGATAAAAATTGCTAACTTCAATTCGATATGATAACTCATTTAAACATACTCAATTAATACAAACACAATCTATCAAAGCAAACAAAAATGGCAAAACAATTTGTGAAACGTGTTGAATTTCACGCGTTAATTTTCATTTTAACTGAATTTGTGTGAAAGAAGAGCGGAATGGAAACAATAAATGACATTTCAACAGAAGTTTAGAGCAAATTAGATTTGTTTGGTTTTCGTTGTTTCGGAGCATCGATACTTTTCTTCAAATTCAGATTTTGAAACAAATTGTTTTTATCGCGAAGAGAGACGCTACTCTATTGATGGTTTGAAGAATGCAATTTAACGAATTCGCACAGAAAAACGGTATGGTATTTTGGCGTTCTCCCTCAAAAATTTGCCATCGAACAAAGTCGATACATACGATTCAATAAGCAAATTAAATGAGTTCGACTCACCATTAGGAATTCACACCATTTTTTGCAAACTAACCTGAATTGAGCTTTGAATTTGGATTTTACATCAATCTAATCATGTCGATCAACAGATCTTATGCCTTTACTCACCAGAGGAAACCAAATTGAGCTCCACACTATGTGTGGCTCAAAAATGTACTTATACATTGCGTATAGTAGGCCTTGACCAGTTGAACATCTTTAATTAGAACGAAAACTAATTTTAATTCTTCTCTAATCGTAAGTCAGAGTCTATTCACCTTTTCAAACAAAAATTTGGTTAGAAGCATATATGCTAGTCAACATTTATGCTGCGATTACCCCGTTAATCAACTTTGATCATAAACCTAAAAAACCGACGTGAAAATCAGAATCATACAATGTTTATCCATCGTATACGCAACCTGTTTCACAGGCAATTACATCAATTAAACTTTTTCTTCAGCTAAAAGTTTTGCATGCCGATGCAGAAATACTGACCGAGAGATGGCGTTTTAAATAATGACTAATCGTTTAGTAACGTTTCTTTGTTGTGGAAAAAAAACATTTCGATTTCAATCCAATGGTAATTCGAATCGATTCAATGGCAATAAAAAAGGATTATTGTTCGAAAAGAGCAGCACCTTTTTTGCAAATTCATTTCATAGTTTATTCAAACTGGATGATTGAAATGAGCTCAGTAAATGTAATAAAGTATACTTCACTCAGCTCTCTATAAAAGTGCATAATAAGACAATGAGAGGTCAATGCATCATGCCTAAAGCCTTGCCCAGTTCATAGTTGCCTTTTTGCTTATTTCTCGTGGAATACTTAATAGGCGCCGAAATATCATTTCGAGGAACGAAGAACTCTTCATTCACATTCAAAAGATCAACAAATTCATTTTTTTTTTCTTCAATCAAACAGAATAAAAACAAAGACGAATTTTTCAGTCAGTCAAAGAAAAATTCATTTTCAGCGCATTATTTATGCCTCAAAAAGATTTTGAGTCAAAAACAGACTTTAAATCATTTCTCTTCTCTCAGAAAAAACAGAAACTAAACGGAAAATCCATTTTACCATCCACCCATCATTTTTCACGAATCGCGAAAATGCCGTTTCCCCTTCGCAATTTTCATTGACCCATACGAAATCGATATTCGTGTGGTTAAATCGCAAGCTCAGTCGTTAGCAACGCATTGGACTAAAAACCGTTGGAATGTTTGATGAATCAGCACAAACCGAACGAAATGTTCAACTGGGGGGCAATTCAACACTGACGTTAGCCGTCGCTCCAAAACGAGGAGTATCGTTTAAATCGCGTGGATGGTTCGAACGGTTTGCGTGCGAAACACATCGAGTACTCGATTCATGAAATTAGAGTGGAGTTACGCATCGGTTTTTTTCTCACTTCAAAATTCCATATCGGGTGAGTGCGATGTAAATGGGCACAACCACGACTATATTTTGTACACATGCTTATTCACAGCCGCATGGTATACGGCACAATGGATTCAATTTCATGCAAATCATCAATTATTTACTGGATTTTGGTGCAAGGCACAAGGACCGTGTAATGCAACTGCACAAACCACTTGTACCGAGGAAATTCATTGCCGTTCGCGGAAATTTTGACTTGAATTTTTTTACTTGTGAAAAAAATTGCTCGTCTGACTTTCTTGATTTTCTGTCTTTTTCCTACCCTGTTGTCTTCCTTTCCGTCAGACGCATTTTTGTTCTGACGCTCTTGTTTCATCCAAATTCACCGTTCGAATCAAAAGTATGAAGAAAAAACCATCAAAATTTGAGCGAAAAAAATGATCGCAATCAAAAATATATGCATGAAGCGAAAGGAGTGCTTCGTAAGCACGGCTTTCTACGTAAAGTCATTGAACCATCCAGAAGTTGAGTCAGAAATGACACCAAAAATTATTTCATCTTCCATCGAAATTCGGCAATTTGCTTTTGTTTAGTGTTTCGCATTGATGCGATGTGTATTCACGGTGTTCAGTTCGAAAAACCAGTTGTAAAATCTTAATTCTACGATGTTGTTCTGAGCGAGTCGAGCGTATGCGTGCACACGTGTGTGTATGTGCCGAGTGTGTCGGTGATGTGTGTGCCGTGTTGCGGCAAGTATATACAAGTGAAATCGTAACTTTACATGCTTCTTCTTAAGCCTTCTCTCTCCCTCCTCCCTCTCTCTTGCTCTTTCTCTTTCTCTCTCCTTACTCTCTTAATGAGTTTTATTTCGTCACACACACACACACACTCGAAGGCTTGTGCGAATGTTTTGTGTTGTTTTTTTTTTGTTTTTTCAATAAAATTGCTAGTCTCATCCGCCTATGCTTGGGATACATACATTTCTCGTCGCTGGGCCTTTGTTTTAACGACAACGACGAATATCGAGTCAAGAACTGCATGCAACCAACAATAATAATACACAATCCGGTTGAACGTTTTGTCAGAGCAATTTCAGTTGAATTCGGAGCATTGTGCCAGCAACACACGAAGAACATCGAGTGTTGGTGTCATTAAGCAAGCACAAAACTACAACTACCCATAATCATACTGACAATTTTTATAAACAAAGATTCGTTTAAAATTTACATAAAAAACCCGTTTATTTTCATCACGTCAGGTAAGTTGCATGGGTTGAGATTGGACATGAAACACATTGGATTGGAAATATTACCGAGAAATGTTGAACCTTCAAAGTGAAAATTATGTCAAATTGTTCGATCGTGAAACGGTTTGAATTTGTGCGATAGTTGGTCAAGTGGAACATCTGTGTTTGTAACGCATTTCCTGAGACCTTAAGTCGAAGCCCTGGACTAGCGAAATAAGTAATCAACCTTAAATCGGCGAAATAAACGCGGAAAATTCCATCACGATTTTTTATGATGAATCTAACGAGTGAAGACCCAAAGTAAACACATTAGTTGTGATCTGGCAATTTGATTGTTATTTATTCCACGACTTGAGAACAAAGCCGTTTTTCTTTTTAATTCTATGAATCGAGTGTGCAATGATTATTTTCAAAGAGTGCGCGCGATTCGATCGATTTGGAACGACAACAGCATAGAAACAAGAAGCTCGAACATTATGTAAACAGAAATGTACAATGTTGCCGATGGGGCGTCCGGTCAACGACGACGACAGCGTCTCGCGCCAGCGATAAGACGCAGTGTTGTTAAACAAAAACTAGCAAGTTCATTCTGAGATACTATAAATAAAATCGCATTGAGAGCCCGGCTTGACTAACCGATGATCATTGCCACCGACTGAAAAAAAAACTCGTATGACTACTGAGTCGGGTTGCTTGTATTGACAACACGACTGCATGTTTATGTTTATTTGAAGATCATGTGTAATTGCAACTGAACATATTCGAACTGAACATCATTCACTGATGCAGTCGGCTTTGGGTTGTCTCTTTCAATGTGTATTTTTTTTCTCGAAATGAAAAGGCTCTTTGGAATAATGAAGTCACTTTTGGCATTCCAAGAAAAAAAATTTGAGCTACCGGAATCGCCTTGCAATTATATTTATTTCGATATGTGATGCCCCTTGCTGAGATCACTCCGAAGTGAGTCGATACATTTTTCTTACAAAATGATACAAAATGCTTCTTGTGAAACGCTACAATACGATGAACGATGCCGCCAAAATAACAAACTCATCATCATCTGGTTCATTTGAATTTCAACGCGCTAAACTAGATTTTTTTTCAACAACGATTCCCAGTGACTTTTTTTTCGACGTTTGTGCCTATTTTTAGCCACTCGACTACAATCGATTTTTATCAGCACGAACAACCGTTTTTCAAAACAATATAGTCAACCGTTTTTCAGATTCTTCAAATATTCACAATCGATGATTCGAATGACTAAAACGACCGGCGATTTGAATGATTAGAACAATTTTGTTGAGTCGCTGCTCTCGATGAGGTATGCTCAAAAGTAGCAGGAGCATCATCAATAGTATATTGAATTTTAGATTGTAAACGTTTTGGAAAGATTGAGATTGTATTTGGACGATAGTTTTGGAATAAAAGCGATTAACTTTCCGCCAGAATTTCCCATTGGGATTCATTTCTTTCTGCACATAATTTCTATTTTTTGCGTTTCAGACATGTTTTTGAAAACAAACAGAATTGTGAAAACCAATCTTTTTTTTTGATGGATTTTTAAAGTCAATTTCGTTTTTTGTGCGTTTTGACTCTATTTTGCAGATATAAGAGATGAATCTTTTTTCATTCCCATCAAGAATCATTTTGTTACATTTAAAGACAAAATTGTTGGGCACAACCAATTTGTTCGATTGAATTAGACTGTGAGTTTGCTTTTTTATGAATTCTATTGGGTCGAAGTTCAAACTTTCAGGTGTCAAACTTTACGATTGTCGAAAGTAGCAAAGCGTCGATTGTGCGATGAGTAAACATATCGAATCGCAACTCGTTAATTGATCAAGTTAACATTGTTGGTCAAACAGCCGAATATTTGTGATGCTCTTGCTTGTCGACGTGTAACACACGTCGTGTGTCAATTTTTAAAGATAGAAATGAAACCGACTTTAGATGGGTTACGATAACGATTCACCGACCAAAAGAGAAAAAAGAAATTTAACACAAAAAAACTTCTTTGTGTCGCAAAAATGATGAAAAAAACTAAACTGGATTTGTCAATGTATTCCAAATAACCGTAAACTCTGTATTTATTTGCTTCGATATTTTCAAACTGGAAACGTTTTCAAGTACTAAATGGACAAATTAGTTATTGAATGTAATGGACAAATGATTAGTAATCATTGACTACACTTGAAGCTAAAAAAGGTGTTTGAATTGAATTATTTCATTCGATGTAATTCGCATTAATTTAAGTAAAACTAAACTAAACTAAACTAATTTCGGATTCAGTTTTGAATCGCATTTTCAAGTCAAAGTGTGTATCAGTTGAAATGGCAGTCCAGAAATGGAAATGCGTCGTCAACTGAAACGCACTGAGAGATAAAGTAAATAGAAACAGAAACAGAAAACATACTCGATTGTGCATTACAATACGCCTTAGTTGCAGCTGCAAACTTGTGCGAATTGCATTCAACTTTGATATGTTCGCTGACGTTTTTTTTATGGTCAGAGTACAAACTCCATTTCGTACCGGAAACGAGAGATAAAACTCCTTTGTATTTTAATTATTTCATAAAAATTCGACGCATAAATGTTATTTACGATGTTCTTATTGTTCTTTCCTTCATTTGAATTCTTTTCCATTTCCAGATTGAACAGTATTCGTAAAAATGTCGTCGACAGGGCCTGAACAAGTGACGATTGATGTGGAACGTTTGAATGATCATCCGGAGACAAATAAACAGATGGATTCACTGAAAGCGGGTGAGATAGCGACCGATGGACGCCATTCAAGGGGTCATCAACGACACGGCAGCAATGGTAGTCATCATCACAGTCATCACTCGCATTCCGGTGAAAGTGATGCAGAAGACAAAAATCGTAGTCGGCGCTCACGTCGAAGATCCAGGTCTCGATCACGTTCACCGTCACATCGCACCAAACGAGCCACAGAGAATAGTGTAAGGACATTTTAAACGTAAAATAATTGAACATCCTAATTTAAAAAAAAAAAAACAAATTTTGACTTCAGGTCCCATCAACGGAAAAAGATGTAGTCACCAATTCACATGATGTCGAACCGCTTCTTGTGACAAATGTTCACCATACAAAAAAACGTAAGTCAACCAACACTTGTTATATTTTGCTTTCACATGCACTCGACACTTTATCTCGATTCGCAGTTCGGCTTTAGTTTCGCTTTTAATTGGGAGATTTTGTTGGATTTCCCATTGGAAATTCGATTCGATCAGACTTTTTCATTCAATTATACACTTTATTTGGGAATTATTTCTTCTTTTTGATTTTAATCAAAATTTAATTTAATTTCATTTTTAAACAAATCTTTTCAAAGGGACTTTTTCTTGAGGAGAAGATTTCTCTTATCAAAAAGTTGATATATTTCATGCCAAATGACTCTTTATTAAGAAAAACCAAGATTGTTTATCAGAAAGAAAAACCACGAATGAAGATTTTTTATCAAAAAATTATTTTCGTTCAAGAAATGTTTTTTTTTTCTTGAGGGAAAATCTTTGTTTAATCTTCTTTCTGATGAACAGTCATGGTTTTCGAATGAAAATATCATTTTTTTTTGATAAAAATAAACTAAAAGGATAAAACTATCTCAACCAAAAATGAAAAATTAATCTTTCGACAGATTGATCAATTGAAGTTTCAATCTTTTTTTTTTAACCAAAATTTGATTATTTTAATTTAAACACGTTATTTTTATTTTAAAAAAGCATCATTTTAATTTCGTAAAATTGACGCGATTTTTATTTCACACAAAAAAAAAATCCACTGCACTTGCTTTCAAAACGCAGACACTGAATTGGACGAGGATGATTCAGATGATAGTGTGACGCAGCATGAAGAAAATCCAGGTGTAGATGATGGTTTTTTTGTAGGTACACGAGCCGAAACCGATGAAACAAATGACAAATTCCATCCAAATGTGAATCACAACAACAATATCCCGCACGAAAATCCATCGACATTCCCCTTCGGACCCGGCTTCAATCCGAATGTGGTAAAGAAATAACACCTTTTTTGGTCATTGGTTTGCGTTTAGTGCAATTGAAATGAAGGCAAGGTGTGACTCATATTATTTTTGATTTTGCAGATACTCGATGCGAATGGGAATCCACAAGTTGTACCCGATATCAATGTTTATCAACAGAAAAAGAACCTGGCACAAGGTATGATGGACTTGGCATTACTCTCAGCCAATGCAAATCAATTGCGATACGTTGTCGAAACCTACCCATATCATCCGTACTATTGGTTCAGTTTGATTTCTATTTCGATCAGCTTAATTCTTCAGGTAAATTTTTACATTTTTTTGCAAGAAATCACATTTTTTTTCTTTTTTTTTCAATCTTTTTTCATCATCCATTCTTATTCTGAATCGTCTTTTTTTATTTTCAGGTTGCTGTCGGTGTTGGATTGATCCTAAATAGTCGATACAATGTAAAGAATAAGGAGCAAATTTGCCGCGCTGACAAAGTCAACAATTTAACCGTCATTGGCATCTTTCTCATCACCGCCGTGAATGTGTTCATTACAGCGTTTGGAGTAGCTCCGTCAGAATCGAAACCCAATTAGCCTAAGTCACGATGATAACCAGTGCTTTTTTATCTCTTTTGTTTTTTATCCGGAAAAATATCGCATATTTTTTATGAATTGAAGGCATTTTTAAAGTCAAATTAAAGATTTTCATTTAATTTTATTATAAATCGAAATGATTGATCAATAATATTCCGAGAGAATATTTAACAAAAAATAATCTATGCATTTATCATGCTTAATGCATGACTGAAAATCATAGTTAAAAATATAAATTTTTAATTCCGTTGACTTGGATGTAAATTGTAATTTTATGAAAATTCGACCCAAAAAATTTAGGCTAAAATTGAAAGGAGCAAAATTAAAAAGAAAAATTGAAAATAGAACGAAAATAGAACTGAAAGTAAAAATTGAGGAAAAAATTAATGTTTTAATAAGAAGAAGAAGAAGAAAAGGAAAAAGAAGAAAATGTAAAATGCATGTGCATCATGCATTATTTTAAGAAATTTTTAGAGCTGCCCATTTTCAAGAAAATTTAAGTAAAACACTGCCCATTTTTGAGTTTTGAGCTGCCCATTTGGGATTTAGAACTGCCCAAATGGGCAAGAGCTGCCCACTAAAATAATGCATGATGTGCATATTGTGCACGAATATCAATAACTTTCATTTATTTTCGTTCTATCCAACCGATAAATACGTGCCTTTTCTCTGTGAAGAATTTAAAAAAAAAACACAACAACTACCATTTTCTCGTGTTATTTTCTGTTTGACTGCCTTATGTTTTGTATTTGTTTCGAAAAAAAAAACACATTGCTAATAAAAATGTTGGATCTTTTTTTCTATAAAATCAAGCTTAACTATTCTTAAGTAAAAAAAATCGTTTATTTAGCTAATTTCATTCAATGGTTGATTCAATAAATTGTTGTTATTAATCATCTGTTTCGGCGTATATTGCGGCATTTCGTCGTTTAATTTTTTTGATGGTCGGAGGTGTTGATTCGGTTTGATTGGTGTCGTGATTTTGGCGTTTTTCTGCAGCCGAAGAAAATTCAGTTGATTCTGGTGTTTCAGTTGAGTCTGGTAATTCGGTTTCTACCGTGGGGATTTCATCCAATTTAACATCTTCTGCAGAGAGTTCATTCAATGTTGGCAATCGATCTTCACCAATTTTAATTTCTTGATCGATATTGCCGTCAATCTTCGTTTTCAAGTTATCATCATCATCATCATCATCATCATCGATGGGTGCATCTTCATCATCACTCAGGTCAATATCGGCCTCTTCCGGGTTCAATGATTCGTTGAGTGTATTTTTCGGTGCTGGCAATGAATCGAACAGTGACAGTCTTTGATTGAGCAGTGTTAAATTCGAAATGCCACCGGATGAAGCGTTGGAAATGTTGAGTGTATTATTTTCCGACAGATCCTCAACTCGATCGCTGTCATTCAGCAAACTGGTATCAGACATCGATGCATTGATCACATCCCGATATTCGGAATGATTGATTTCACCGCCGGCCAAAATGACCACCAAATTCAGTGGGTCATCAATTTCGAGTATATTGCAAAAGTCAACGGTTTGTGGATTTTTCACTGGTTTCGGTTGTTGTGTCATTGGCGGTCGATTATTTGGATTATACGGTGGTGCTGTTCGCTCGAAATTTTTCGGCACTTCCAAATTGCCACTGAATCGTTTAAGTACCAAGTTTTTCTCATCTTCGGTTGGCCGAAAATCCCAACGACACGTTTCATTCCCCGGTCCAGGCATGTAATTCGACAACGGTTTAACGTGCATTAAATGCTTCGTTGTATACAAAATTGTCAACCACTCCAGATCATAGTGAAGTCCCTGTGAATCTGGTTCGGGGCCATCAATGTCGATAATTTGCAAGAATCGCCGATTTGGCAGACATTTATCTAGTGCTAGAAATTTCGTTTCTTTGCCATCATCGTGCGGAATGACCGCAGCGAATTTACAGTGCAAATGACCTGAGAACCAATACTTGGGCTGAAGTTTCTTTAACAATTCAAACAGCGGCGGACTACCGAGTTTATTATCGTGGATCTCATCACGGAAATGTGGCTTAAATTTGATCAATTGACCGGCATTCCCGTAGTTGTAGACGTCGGTGGGCCAATCATGTGACATCATAATGTCAATCGGCTGCGATAATTGCTGCAATCGAAATGTCTCCTGTTGCCGATAGTGATACACGGAACGCATAGCATCGTTGTCATACGGTGGCTTCTCGAAATGACCCTTAAAATAATCGAATCCCTTGTAAATGCCCGACAAACCACCGATTCGAACACCTTTGTATGTGACAACACTTGCATAGCCCAAGTAGTAAATGTTTGGCGCTACCCAACCACCGTACGGTAATTCTTGCAAGTAATTTGATGCCTCATGATTGCCACCGATGAATATCGTTAGGATTGGAGCCACTTTTTCACCACTGTAGTATCTGGAAAATAAATTTGGAGTTAAATTCATGGACAATTGCGATTTTTAAGCAAAGTAAATATGAATTTAATGTGAATCGTATTGCATTTGGCTTCTTGATTCAGGAGATTCAATTGAGTTGGTCTTTATATTCAAACTCGACTTAATCGATGTGGCTTTGTTGATGCTAATTCATATCGATGGTTTTTTCATGTTTCGATTCGGGTTCGGCTTCAAGTGACTTTGGGACTTTGTCATTTTTTTACCATCTTATTTGGCTTCAATCAATTTTTTCGTCGTTTTTTTTCACTTCCATCAACTTCATTGTCTTCTTCTGAATATTCAGTCACTGGTTTAAATATTTCAGTCGCCTTTCCTGGCTTCAATCAAAGTTTCATCACCTACTCGACTTCATTCACATGTTCGTGTTCAAATCCCATCACTCCAATTGAAATCCTTCGTCAAGTTGGAAGTTAAGCCAAACCGACCTTCAAATACTCACTTATAAAATGTACAGATATCGCGGAATTTCTTCGGCACAGCCATGCACTCGAGATCATTGAGATTTCGTGTGGCTTGAAAATCACCGCAACACAACAGCAAATCCACTTTGATATTCTGCTGTTGTTCGATCAACGCAATTGTGTCATAAATCTTTTCCAATTCGCCATGAGCGCATCCTTCAATTGCCACCTTCATTTTCTCACGCGCTTTCCGTCAAATGTTCGAAAATATTCTAAAATTTTCAACTTTTTTCACTATTTAACCGATAATAAACTATTGATGCGACGATGAAATTGGACGGCAACAACAGATTTAAATGTTTGGACAGCGCTGCATTTGACAGTTCATCTTTCATTGAGAAAAAAAGCAACAAACCGCTCTGAAGTTGGTTGTCAGTCTCTCTCTCACACACCATCTATGGTTGCCATCCAATATGAACGTCTTGACAGGCAAATTCAAATTGGAGTGCCATTTCCGTTGGACGAGAAAATAAATTTAAAAAGCAAATTATTCAAAAAGAAAATATGTTAAACAGTTTTAAAGATAAAATTAATTGAAATTTACAACAAAATTGACGTCTGAAATTTTTTTTTCGATAGGGCCAAGTCTGTCGATGGGAATAAGATTTGAACGATTCAGGTTTTTAACTGTGTTAAAGAAGACGGTCAAATTGACATCAATTGAAACAGTTCAAAGTGAAAAATGGAGAAGAAATTGACATGTAACCAGATTTCTCGACTTTTGTTTATTCTTTATCATTTTTTTTATTTAATGATGGTCAAGGGGAAAAATACATTTAACAGCCTTCGTGACCATTTTGAAATGAAAAATGAAACTCGTTGAGAGTAGTGACTGAAGAATTCAAACTCTTCATATCGATTGCTTTCAGTGGCGAAAATATTTTCTACATTTTAACCATTAATTCAATTGAATGAAATTTTTCGGCAGAAAAGTCTTTTGTTGACCGTTTGGTGCATTTACACCATTGATACACAACAAATCTCGTCGAAAATGCAACAAAATAAATTAAACAAATCGGAAAAACCAAAAGGATAAAATACAAATCCAAATGAAAAGTGCGTAGAATCGTCCGTACGAGTGTGTTCGTCGAACACTAGTCCCCTACGTTCCATACTTCAAATGTGATGCGTGAAAAAATTGTGGAAAAAAGAATAGAAAATGCACTAAAATTGTGTGGATAGCATCAACTTAACGGGACAATAGTCGGTTCAATCGAATGCAATACTCTCGCTGTTTTGTAAACAAGAGTCTTCCGCTGCTGAAAATGTTCAAATTCTGATGAAATGTGATCAAATGGTAAGTGGCGATGCGTTGAATTTACAAACTCAGAATCATTCAAACATTTTTTGTAATCTACTTTAAGACATTTTGGCTGAATTCTTGTTGGTACTATGATTAGAACCCAAATCGATTTCAATTAACTTTGAACAAATTCAATCAAGTAGATGGGTTTCTTGAATAAATCTAGGAATAAACCATTAAGCCAAATGTATTTATTATGACTATCTAGTGATTGAAATTCTAATCAAAGCACGTACAAAGTTACTCTACTATAGTCACTCATAAATTATTGAGTGACTATCACCAGAAAGAAAGCTACTTTTCCGGACCAAAATCGAGTCACTGTAGTAAAAACAAAAACAAAGGGAAATCAAGGGTTACTTGAGCATACCTGCCAAGATTTGAGTATATACACATCTGTTTTAAGGCTAAAAATCGGAGACAGCTCTATTTATAATTGATTCAATTAAATAGAATCAAAGTCGAATAAAAAAATTAGAAGAATAAAAACGCACGCTTTTATTTTCGGTTTTTAGTATTTTATGTGTATTTGTTGTCAATAGATTGTTTACTTCTTAATATCTTATCGCTTAATTTATTATAATGTTTGACTATTCGTTTAGCTAAAAGTTAACCATTTTGTTGTTTGATTTGCTTTTTTTTTATACGATAAATACGTTTCGATTCCGAATTGTCTATGTACAAAAATTACTTACACTTGGGAATTTGGAGAGAGGATGTAGGAAGAATGGTGTGAAAAAAGTTCTAAATTCAATTTTTTTAGAAAAAAAGTGCATTTTCCACTTTTTCGTACCGTAATTGTGGGTGTAATAGTGTATTTTTCATGGAATTTCGTTCATTATTTCTTTTTTTCCTAATCTTTTTTCTTGCGGGAGGGGATGAAAATTTCGGAACGGATCTTAATGAAACTGAGGTGAGGAAGATAAACTAAAGCAAAGAAAACCCGAAGTTAAATTAGACAGATTCAGATGCGATTTGCCAATTAAATCGATTGCTCGCTGTTTTTGTTTCTACGTTTTTATTCATATGTCTATCTAATTTATGTTTGACGTTAAGAGAGAAAAAAAGTACGTTGACTACGATTATTATAAATACATGGACTTGTTCTGCATGTGCTTGGATTTTGAACTGAAAAACCAATTTTTTCACGTTTTTTTTTTGTATCTCAATCGCATTTCGTTTGTCTTTTCTATTTAAATTAAACTATGTTAAACGTTTGACATACGATTAATTAAGATTATGTTTTGCGGATTGGACCGCATGACTGGTGCATCGAAATGTGTCTTGATTTAATTCGTTGAAGTGTGAGAATTGCCGACGAAACATACCGAGTATACGGAAATACTGAATTTTGGTGGCAATTCCATCAAATCAACGAACAGTAACACGATTTCCATGCATTACTCGTACATTTTTTTTTTTGACAATCAAAATTGTTCAGGAATTTTTTGCAAAATTTGTGTAGATTTTTTTTTTCATTCGAAAAAATTGAATTCGTTCGACAATCCAGTTTAGAGACGTATTTATATTGCTTGTTTGGATTCATTTTAATTTACTATATTTTTAGAGGCAATATTTCTTATGGTTCTTTGTTTATTTTTTTTTTTATTATCATTGGAACATCACATTTATACATTTTTCATGTCAATATTTTCTTGGATCTTCCGGCGAAAATTTGCATTCAACATGTACCACACACAAAACACTAATCCCACCATTTAAAATGACGAGTCGGTGTGTGCGTAAAACGGGAATTTCAGTTTATTTTCTTGTATTGTTTTCGTTTTTAATTAAATTGAATCCCATTTTTTTTTGCTATTGAATCGTTTTAACTACTATGCGAAAAAGCTGTATTGGTATATGGTCCACTGTAGATTGAGCTGCCTGAGTTTGATACGGTTTTACTGCGTCGTCGTGCCATTATGCACAGTACGGCAGCCACAACGCACAACATCAAGATGAGACCCGCTATTGAGATAGCAATGGCAAAACTCTTTTGTGATATACACAGCGCATCGTCTGGTCTCTGCGAATGGAAGAAAAGAGAATAAATTGAGTCAGTCAAAGGCTTTGAGTTATAGTGAGTAAATTGACAAGTTAAGGATAAGTTTAATTGACAGATTTTTCAGAATGAAATTTAAATCGATTTCGTGAATTGTCTTTTCAACAACTTAATTCTGCTGGAAATTCCAGACTGGAATTGTCTTCAAAATTCGAGATTTTTTAAGGAATTTTCTCCAAAATGTGACTCAATGATTATTAATGCCAATAATATTGGTCCAATACAATTTTTCTTTTAAAAATACAGTCCAAAATCTGTATCTTTAAAACGGGCAAATATTTTTGCCCAATGCCCATTCAATGGGCCCCATGGTAACGTCAAGATTTTGGTCGTATTTTTCTATTTCAACGGAATTTAGATTTTTTACGAAATTAAAATTGAATTGAAAATTAAGAAATTGATTTTTTGGAAGAATTTTATTTTGAAAAAGAAATCGTCCAATTTGCTTAGATTCAATTGATCTAATTACCTTTTCTGCAAACACGCTGTCATCAGTGCCTTCGACTATTTCGGCATTTTCATTGACATAAAGACCCGAATACACTTCGATGGTCGCTGGATGGCCATCGTCAAAGGTGGTATCATTTTTTGTGTCTCGCTTTGGACGCTTTCTCTGCAAACATTCAGGAGCCTGCATGGGAATATTTCAATGATTATTAAATGATAAATTTAATTTTTAACATTTGAAAATAATTTGTAGAATTTTTTATATCATCAAAACAGCACATTCTTGGGTTTACTCTCAAAATACAATCCAAATTCACTCCGGTTGTCAAAAAATGAATCTGAATCTAATCGTGTTTTCCTTGCATATTTCATGGGCAGATCACTTTATAAGCCCATTGATATAGTCCATTACCAATGAACGAAAACTAACACCATTCCAGAAGCAACAATAGAAACTGGAATTCCAAGTTAAACATGGTGCATGAAACACTCTTATTTACCTGTTGACATTCAGGATCTTGAAGTGGACACAATCGAATGTTGCACTCGTAGTAAACGGATGCGGTGTATGGGAATTTGTGGGCTGGGAATGATACTGACGCCTCACTACGATCATTGGAATATTTAAACTGACCCATAATTTCACCATCCAATGGACACCTGGGATTTTGAATGACAAAGAAACAAAAGAACAATGATTAAATCCAATTTATTTTGAAGCAATGAAGGAAAGATATTCTTTCTATATTGAAGCAAAGAATGAAAGAAAATGTGAGAAAGTCGTTGAAAAATCAAACAAGTTTCAATTTATAAGAGGATTAAACTTTAGAATCTAGTGATCTCTTCTTATTCAACATTTCCGTTAAATTAATAGAATCTGTTACTCACCCTGATTGGACTAGATTTTGTTCGCCCCATCCGAGTCCATCGCGTACGTTGCAATCCAAAATGTGCATACCATACACGTCTTGTTTGTCGATGTATATTTTCAGTGTGAGTGGATCGCCGATTTTCACATTTTCGGCGATATTTTTACCTGAATAGATTTTCATATGGCATCCAGGCATCGGAACCTCATTGGTTGTTGTACCGTAAGTGCCAAGCGATCGACCATGTTCTCGTCGATCGGTGGCATTTTTCGCTTCATCATCACCGCTGGCAATTAATGCTCCGGGCGAATCGTTGTCAATCGTTTCATTATTCGCTGCAGCGGCCGCTTCACGACTCTTGTATCGGCATCGTACGTGATATCCACGGCCCAAATCCGTAACCAGCTTCAAATGTGGTTGCAGTACAATTGTATTGAAAAATTCAATATCATTGTCATCCTAAATGGAAAGAAGAGAAGATTTTCAATCAAATGAATTTCTCCATGAAAAGAATGAAAGAAAATTCTGCGACGTTCCATTCAAAAATGTTCTATACGCGATGCATGTGCGAGAATATTGCTTCTGGCGAAAAACAGCAAACAATAGGAACTCTTACGCGCGCGCGACTAACGGGTTCTAACTCATTTACAGATAAAATATACAATTATGCCGCAATCATTCTTCAAAATGAAGCAGAAGAAGACGAAAAACAAAACTTCGCGCGAGATTGAAATTCATAAATGCTTTTTTGCCTCTCCCACAATATGTATCGAAATAATTTTTACACCGAGTGTCTTTGTGTATGCGGAGTGAGTGAGCGAGTTTTTGTATTGTTTGGCTTAATTATGATTAATTGATGTGGCGATGAGAGCCGTTCATTTTGCTTCACTTTGTGTGACTCGGCGGCCCAATCTTATATCACATACACACACCCAATAAGAATGAGCGTGCCAGCGCGCTAACGATAAATTCATGCACGTACAACGCACCTAACGCTATATTTTTTTTCTTGGCTTTTCGGGCGAACCACAATAGAACAACCCAATTTGAAATTAGAATTTGCTGTCAGCCAAAAAGCATCACAAAAAAAACTTGAATATACCCAAAAAATGATATGGTGCTTCTCTTCACATCGCAACCCATTTTTGGCCATTTCATTTGAATATACCAATTATTGAAGGTCAATTAACACCAAACGATTCACAAATCGTTTTATGCGCTTCGGTTAACATTGTTGACTCAACAATGGTTCAAGCGTTCGCTACTTATGACTTCCATTAACAGTAATTTTTTGTGTTGTTTTTAATTTTGACGGGGTTTTCAAGTGTGCGCGTGAGTGTGTGTTTGCGTCTCGCCAAAAAATGGCTTAAATCATTTGTAATTGCCTGCCAATTGTTGAGAATTTGAGGCTAATGGTCAAGTGAATCTGCCCATATTTGGTGACTCTAAGTCGAGAAATCACATTCACGGCAGAGAAAACGATAGGCCAAAGACTTTTGCCAAAAGTCGACCAAGTGTCAAGTTGAGACTCTCAACGGTAGAAATCGACCCGAAATTAAACGGTCTACAATGACCCGGTATCAACGGCCTGAATCGACCCGGTCTTAATTGCCTTAAAAAAATCAAACACAGCCAGGCAACCGTAGAAAAGAACGAAATTCCTTTAAAAATGGGCGGCTTAAGCACAATTGTTTCTTAAGAAGACACAAGAGGCCTTTATCTCGTGTCTTGTTAAGAAAAATGGTTTTGTCTGTTGAAAAAGACCCTCGCTTAGAACTATTGTGATCTTCGAGACGAGAAATGTGACGATCAACAGTGTTGATTCAACGCTAATGAATGCTTGAGTGAAATCCATTGAACAGGTTGACATAAAATCGTGCCAATTTTCGCCTTCACCAGTTTGATCTTTGACAAATCGCTTTGTTTTGAGTCATTGTAATGCCTGTTGCTAACATTGCAAAGCCATACACACACACACTCAGCCGCATGATGCGCTTCGCTGAATGATGCTTCAGGATTTGTTTTTTGTTCAGTTTGCGATTGTTGCACTTCACTTGACTCAACAAAATCTCAACGATACAAATGTCGTGATGATAATTTCAATGGAGACGAACACGACAACCACAACGTGCTAAGGGGGAAAAAACATGACAACAACAGCCGACAACGCAAAACTGCCAACTAATAAACAATTATCAGTTGATGTCACTAATTGATTGTTCCATTGAAACGTATATCAAAATTCATCCCGTTGGAAATTTTTTCGTTCGTTCCCAAGCCTGAGCCCGTGTGATGCGACTTGATCATTTCCTATGTCAATTAAATCTAATGAAATGTCTAAATATACACTTTGACCTTTAGCTGCTCGTTTGTAAGCAACTCAACCAAAATTGACATTGAATTCGGAAACATCGTGAACGAGTCGAACGTTTGTTTGAAGCGGCGACGTTTATTGAATTGAATTGAAGCCGCATTCATCGGCAATAAAATTGTGTGTACATTGAACATGATTTACAATTTGCGAAAACAATCGATGAATTAATTCGTTTAGTGTGAAATCACTTTGTTGGTTTTTGTGTGTTTTTCTTTTCTTTTCATTCTTTATTCATGCGTTGATTTTTTTTTCTCGTCTTTTTTGCGGCTTTTATTTCGCTGGTGTGTTGTAATTTAATTTAGAGATGTTTAACCATAATTATCGTGATGACAGTCCATCGTTGTGTCAGGCGCACACTCGAGCCATTTTTCATGTGGCGACGCTCAATTATTGTAATTGCTTCATTCATGTTGAAATATTGTTGCTTATGCGAAAACCCATGTACATCGCCATTTTCTTCTTCTTCATTTGCCGCAATTTTTTTTTTGCCACAAAAACTTGTAACGCTTTTTTGCGTATGCTCTAGTTGGCTGGCCAAAAAGAGAGTCAGAGCGAGCGAAAAACACAGTCAGAGCGAGAAAGAGTGTTAGGGAGTCAGAACGAGCGAGCGAGTGAGAAAGAGAGGGAGGGTCAGAGCGACAGAGAAGTTAATTCTTCAACCGAAAAGAAGAATTCTTCCGCTCAAAGCATTCATTGTGTGTTGAGCAGTGTTTTTTTATGCGAATAACACGATCACCAAATGAGTTTACACAAAAAGCGTGCGATCACCGATCAGAGGGTGGCAAATGATTTTTCGGCTAATTGGCAAGTGATAGATTCGCTTTGTTTGGATTTGCTGAGTGTGTGTGTGTGTGTGTGTGTGTGTTAAAAATCCAATTGAAAATTGTACTTGTTATTTTCAACAGCAAACCTTGCTACCACCTGCTTGAAATCTCTGCGTGCGTACGTGTGTGTGTGTCGATGAATTTGCACGATATGAAAATCGAAAACCTTCAAAATATTCATAGATTTCGTTCATTGTCAGAATGTAGCGCTTCATTCATTGTTTATTGTTTCATTCAATCTTTTTTTTTCCTCTTCTCCTCTCTCTCTCTCTCTCTCTCACATCTACTTCGGCGGACTTTTTTTTTCCCATTATTTCATTATTTTTTTTATGAAAAGCGTTACTAATTCATTTACTCATTTTCAATTACTGCATTGTACGACAAAACACTTTTTTCTCTTTTTTTCTCATTCTATCTCTCTCTCGCATTCGTTCGCTCTATAAGAGCTTTCGTATCGCTCCAGTCTTCTTCCATCGTCCAATTGATCACAAGCTGTGATAATTGAAATGAATGAAGAAGTGAAAAAAAGTGATCTCAAAAATGTGATGTTTGTATTCAGAAATTCATGAAAAAAAAAATGAACAACAAATGGCGAAATAATGAAGGGGAAAAGATCGACTGACATGAAAATTGGTTTCGGTCTTCTTGAACACCAACTTTAATTTACATTTCGATTATGCCGCACAATTGAACAATCAAAATGTTTTTTTTTTAAATAATGACAACTTTCGGTTGGAATATGACATCAAGAGGAGGACATCATGCGCACGGTCCATTTTGATGCGCTTTAAGAGGCTTAAAGCCTCAACCTTTGTGTTTTATGGGCTTTGAGTTGTTGAATTAAAACTTTTCATTTTTTTTTGGTATTGAATTAAATCTTCTAATTCAATGAATTCAATGATTGTTAAAAGAAATCCATAACTCGTCCAATTTCAAGTTTTTAGCCTGGTGCTATTATGTTTGATTTAATGTGAATGCTTCTTGTTATGTCTTTATGTTCTGCTCAAAGACTTGTTAAACTGTACGATTTTGAGCCACAATCCGTGTTTGAAATTGCGCCATTTCTGGGTATTACAAGGGCTATTTCGGAATAAAAGAGAGCTATTTTCATATTTTATGAAGCATTTCAAGATTTATTCAGAAGCCATTCAAAAATTTTGTTCGTTTTCTATAAAAGGTCACTCAAAAATGTGATCACATTGATCAAAAAATCAACAATGATGTGACAACATTGATCTAAAATCGGAATTTCATTCAAAAAATTGAAATTTTATTCAAATTTGTTCGAGAATGAACGTTCATTCAACGACAATTGTCGTCGATTGCAATCGAATGCATTCCGAACCGTTTCCGAACCATGATTTTGTCCGAGAAGATTTCTCGTCTGAATCGCTTATGTCTGTTACAACCAAATGTTGCTCCAGCGATGCGTTTCAAACGCCGTCAAACCCAGCTAGATCATGGAAAAGGTCATGAAATTATCTGATAAGCAGCATGACTTTGAAATTCATTGTACGGCACAATTGAATTGTTTGATAAATTACAGAAATTCGCTGTTAATACCAGGAAACTAACGCGTTTTTTTTTCATCTTCTCCATCAAAAGGTTCTACGTGTGCATGTGGCCATACTTTGTGGTGTTTGGTATGTGTGTATGATTATTTTAGGTGATATGAAACGGAAACGAAAAGCAAAATGTGCGATCAGTGTGGTATGAAGTAGGTATACGACGTGAGGTAAGTTATTGTCGAAGCATTTGGTATGACAACGTACACGCATACACACACGATGTCGATGACGATGACGACGACGACGACGCACCAAAAGAATGACATGCACCGAAAAATTCTATGAATCGTTCATACGCGCGGCGGCGTTGCGTAATGAAATTCGAAAGACATATTTTTCAAATGCTCATTTATCGCATTTATCGTTCGATAATGACATCATCGTAATTTTTTATTTCTTTACCGTCACACAATCACAGCAACAGCACCGCAAATAGACACACCGAGAGCGACTTTAAAGATTGTTGACTCTTTTTCTCTCTATTTCTTTGCGTTTTCTTCTTCGTTGCGTTACCATTGTATTCTATTCTGAAAACCGTTTATCGAATCGAGCATACACACTATTTTCATTGAATACTAAAATTGCTGGTCGTTGTTTTTCCAATGTGTGTGTGTGTGTGTATTTTGAGCATAGAAAAAGAATGCCGAAGTGATTTTTATTTGTTTTGCCTATTATTTTTCACGAAAAAAATACAACAACAGCACACCAGCCACTCCATTCTTTTAAGACAAACAGTAATAACAGTTTAAACAAAACAGTCATTACACAGCCATAGAAGAAGAATGATGGAAAAAATACGCGATTCACGCGTATTTCCAATTGCTTTTCCACTTTTTGGTAATTAATTTGTTTCCAAAGCATTGCGCAAATTTTTTTTCGTGTTTTTTTCACATTTAAATGCGGTTCTAATTGTAATTGGAGTTGGCTTTTGTGGTTATTGCCATAAACCGTTTCATCCGCCGAGAGTATAACATGTCTTGACTGTATTTATGGCTTTAGATCTATTGCTGACTGTGTCGCAGCCTTTGTCTCTATCCTGCTCTCCCTCGATCTCTCTCTCTCTCTTTTCTCTCTTTTCTATCTTTTCCCTCTCTCTCACTCACTCGCTCCATGCTCTTCATAGTGGATTATTTATTATTATGTTAGCAAAGGTTATAGACATCCAAAAGAATGATCACTGACCATTCGAAAAGTGAATGATCACTGACCATTGATCATGGGGTTCGCATTAGTTTTTTTTGTTTTTTTTTTCTTCCAGAATTTCTAAGTTCGGTTCAACAGCCTACACACACCTTTAGCACCTACGCAATCGTTCTTTATGTGCTTTTACATTCATGTAATGGATTTTTATGCTCCGAGTGGATATGTTCAGACTGTGAGCCTCGAGCATGGAGACGAAGACAATCTAATGGCGATTAAGAACTGACGCAAACATGAAATGCGACTCTAATCGCTTTTATCTCGGCAATGTCAGAATATAAGACATTTGCAAGCGAAATGAATGCGACAAAAGAGGTACGTTTGGAGTGCTATTCTAAGCAGCAGCAACAGCAGCAATATCGACAACTAACAAATGAACCTAACACTGTCGTCTATGCTTAATACATTCCACAATTGAACCAGCTAATGCATTAAATTGAGCCACACTCACCTCACTCCGCTAATAAACGTATATCTATTTCTTATTCGAAAGACAAATGAATTCGATACACAATGTATTTGATTGGAACGGACCAAGGCTGAAACGGCCCAGTCGAAATGAAATTGAAATTCATTCAACGCAAATGCGAGCCATGCACGCACATGCATATATGACGATCAAAGCGAATGACATGCACAGACCAACAAACACACGAAATATCGTTGAAATGATTGAGTTCAATGAAAAAAAAACTTCAAGCGATTCATTCGTTGTGTGGTTTATTCCGAAACGTTTGAGATCATGGGTTTTTTTTTGTCACCTACGCTACCGTTGGCTCAGTAACCACACCTCCCACAAGCTAGAGCGAAATCACAGCAGCGCCAGCAGAAAAAAAAAACTAATCGCAACTCATGACATTTACACGTATATCAAACAGTGATCGCGACACAGACAGACACCCAAAGAAGTTTTGAATCACAAACACACCGAATCCGATGGATGAAATTCCAAATGTCCAAAGGCGAAAAAACAACAACATCGAATACAAAAGCCAATTTATGAATCGTTATAGAAATGGTCGATTAAGCCGTCACTTGAAGTGGTCATCTTCGTCATTTTTTTTTTCGCTCGAAAAGAATGATCTCTGCAATTATTGAAAATTCTTGCGCAAAGAAGTGATTGCATTTTTAGTTTCTGTTTCATTTTCATTTTTCACTCGTTTTTTTTTCACGAGAAAAAAAGCGAAAATTTTACAAAACGAAAGAAAAATTCGTAATAACGAAAAAAAAATCAAGTTTTGTCGTTGAACAACTGAAACAAAAATGTTGTTTTTAATTCCCGAATAAAAAAAAACAACAACAACACACGAGTCGTTGGTTCAATGTTAACGCCGTATTGTTGACGCGGTGGCCCGACAGCGGAAAGCGAAAACCATTGTTACCAAAGCAATTGTACAGAAACACCATGTCTTGTCTCTTTACTTGATTTTTCGCTCTCGTTGAATTGCGTCATTTTTTCGGACTTTTTTTTTTCTTCTTCTTTGGCTTTTTTGTATATTTCATTTTATTTAATTGTTTTCGCCACTAAAATGGGTTTGAAGCAGCAACAGTGCGATGTTATGTACGGGCATGAGCGAGATAAAAAGGTCAACGGATTTTAATTTGATGGCAGTGCCACAGAGAGACACTGCCTGTTGTTTTATTTGTTTCTTTGGTGTTTTCGGCTATGTGGAATCGGAGCTGTGTGATTCATATATGCGGGAGATGAGGGGGGAGGGGAAATTGTCATTATTTTATATGGATCTGGCGATCGTTAGTGTGTATGTATGTTTATTTACTAATGCGCCTCTTCATCTCGACCAACTCATATTTGGCGAAATAAAACGTAATGGTCACCCGATCGAAATGTGACATGATCCCAAAATGTGTTATGTGATTTTTGCGAGGTGCGCGACCGCGTCCGCTTGCCAAAAGACCATAAATAAATTCTTCTTCGTTTTGGTCGGTCCGTGTGTGCGACAATCCACTAACGAGGCGCAAATTCAAAAGCCTTCAAGGTCAACAACCATCCACAAATAAGTCTTCACTGCTGTGTTTCGTAATAGTCGTATGCTCATCAAATTCGACATTTAAAATTTTTTTCTTCGAATTCGACTTTTTTTTTCGCCCAAAAAATGACATTTTCGTTCACGAAACTAATACCATTTACGGAGGAATGTGGCGTGGGTTATACCTGGTAATATTTCGCCAAAATATTTTAGGTTTATCTAACAGATGGATTTTTTTCTCTCGCAAATCGCGATTTTGCTTATCTAAGTACGTTTATCTAAGAAACAGCCTACTTCAAACGCAAAATCCGTTTGAACATTTTGAATGAACGATCAGGAAATTAACGGCATACTCTTTCGGATTTAAATTCAAATCTTTTCGCTCTAAATCGTCAAGTCGGTGATGATTCTTATTTCGTTGGGAAAAAGATTAAGAGATTACATACGTATTCTTTCAGTTACTTACCGTTTCCTGTGGCATTGTATTACAGCTCCTTAATGGCAGCTTATATTTCAATGGACCATCATGATGCCTGCAAACAAACAGTATAAGTCATTTAAGTCCGTATCATTTGTGGCACTCGATCGCTAGCTTGCTCGCTCTCCGACAATCTCAACGATCTCTTTGCGATTTAAAACGAGCATGCATCCGATATTCGCGAGATCACGATCTTGAACCCTTACCTGTATTCCGTCAGGCACGTTGAATTCTTTGACAAGCCTTTTGGATAAATCATGCCACTAAATAGATCATCATCTGGACTAGTTGGTGCATCTTTAATCGTAATAAGCATCGAACCCGTTAAACATTTTATCCGCACGGTGGGCTCTTTTGTTGCTGTTGACACGGATAGTATATCTGTTGTGGAGGAGAATTGGAAAAAAAAGGTTAAAATAATGGAGAACAAATACATGGACAAAATTGCAAATCAAAAACGATCAAAATGAATATGAACAATTGACAAACAGAAGGAATAGGCAATAATCTAACGATTTTGCTGTGCCATCGACGATGGCCCATCGTTTTTCTAAACAAACGAAGTTCTTTTCGATGATCATCAGCCATAAAATCGCTTTTCGACGATCTTCAGCCAAAATCGTGCATGGAAACTGAACGAGAAACACAAAACTGAACACGATGCGGAAATTGAAAATGATGCGAGAGTAAAAAAATAGCACAATAACCGAAGAAAGACACATGAAAAGAACTCAAATCGAAACAGATTGATAAAAAAATCAATTCAAACACCACAAATTGAAATAAAACCCAAAGAATTTCTTCAAAAAGAACGAGGAAAGGAGAAAAAAAATGGATCAAAAGTCTAAAATTTCAATCAAAAACTAAAAAAAAACCAACCATAAGACAAACAATTTCATTCAAAAGACGAAGAATTCAATAAAAAATACAAGAATGGTCTATTCAAACAGAATGAGAAGCCAAAGAAAACGAAGATCGAGTCAAATTGATGCAAGATGAACCGCGTGCAATTTGAAGTAGACAGAATAAATGGCATCCAAGACCGTAATTTGGAGTGTAATTTGTGATCGAATTGTGTGTTATTGTTCAATGTTTGTGTTGCTATTGTTGTTGATTTTGCTGCTGCAGCAAATCGTCTCTAATGAGATTCGACGCTTGTGAATGCGCGCAGTTTGCATGTCAACACAGGAAATTCACAGTTAAGTTCTAGTTGCATAACACATGTCTGTTTATTCTCTTCTTCAGCGCGTAAAAATTGTGAGATTGGTTGGTTTTGGTTATTGTTTTGTCGATTCTCCCGCTGATTTGGTGGATTTTTACGGTTATCGTGTTATTTGTGCTGTTTTTTTTTCGACTTATCTATCGATTGGTGTGTCTCTTTCTCGACCTACCATTTTTTGTGCTTTTCTTCATCCGAACCGAAATTAGACAATTGTTACACAAAGCTGAATTAATTTGAGAAAAATCGTTAAATTTTATCTATCGTTCGTTGTTGTTTTTAGCTTGGTAGTGCATGATGCATGGTGGAAGAAGCGGCTTCATGAGAGAGCCACTCATCGAGAGACAAAGAAACGAATGAGACAACATTTAAGCAACGGAGCGAACAAGATGGATAAAGTAGATTATGTTTGAGCAAGCGAGAGGATGTGAAATAGAGAGAGGGAGAGAGAGAGAGAGAGTAGTAGACAGAATTTTTAAGTAACAGCAAGAGGGAGAAAGATCGACCAAGACACGAAGCTTTGTGAACGCATTCGCTTGCGCGCGCACCACAGAATGAAAACAATCAGTTCAGCGAAGAAAAAGCAAATGTTCTAAGCAACGGCATTTCCTCTTGTAAAAATGCACACTTCGTGATCTTTGTCTGCATATCGGTTGGAAAATATCCGTTCGCGTTCATGGCTGAGTCGGTTGCCGCTCTGTGTGCGCCTTTCTCTCACTCTCTCTCTCTCTCTCTCTCTCTCTCTCTCTCTCTCTCTCTCTCTCCAGCTTAACAGAGATTTAAGAATGTTCGACACAACAATGTACTGTTCGTTTTTTTTGTGTGTGTGTTTCGTATTAGATTGAAGATCATCTACTCCGGAAGAGCATTTTGCTGATTCTAATAATAAGGCACGAATATGGACACGATGCATGTTCTTTATTCAGATATATCGGCTGTTGAGAGTTGCACAGTGAGAATGAGTTAAAGAGGCTCTGAAAAAACGAAAACACAGTGCACAGTTGGAACCACGGTACTGGCTTCTATCTCTCGTCCGTGCAAAATATATGAGCTGACTCGTGTGAAGTGGCTTTTTTTTTCTCCATCGAAATTTATTACTATTATTTTGTGCACGATTTCGCATGGCAAGCATATTGCGCAGATGCATAGAATCCGCCACGAGGGTGACAATTTAAGCAGCCGGGCTGCTCAAATCCAAGTCATTTATCATCATATTTGGTGGCATGCATTCTGTGGTCTTTATCAAACATTAGCGTAAATTTGCTGCATTGTCAACATCGATTCGGCTTAGGCGATGTTTGCACACGGTATAAATGGAAAATCTAGGCCTCAACCAAGTCGACAATTGAAATGGTTTTTTTTTTGCCATGTGGAATGCTACAAATGATTTGTGCACAGGATACTAAAGCCGACTGAAAAAAATAAATAACAACAAACAAAGAGAGGATGCAATTTTCTGGCCTCCATCATCATCATTATCATTGATGAACCTTTAGCCAGACGATGAGTTGTTTCACATACGAGACGACAATAGCCAATGTCTTGCTTGATCCTTCTCTACCCATAGATTGATCACATCACAATTTCTTTATATTGAATTTTTTTTTGTTCGCGTTTAACATCGAACATTGATTGAATCGCAAATAAAATACAACGATTTATTGCTTGCCTTCTTCTCCTCAAATTGTTAACACAATACACGGTGTTTTTTTTTACTGCTCGGTTCAGTCTCCAAATGCATCATTTCATTTTATTACAGAATCCAAGCTCAATTGAATTCTCATGGAATGTTAAGTATACAGATTGTTTTTTTTTGTTGTTGTTGTTGTTTTTCTCATCTGCGGTCCAGAGTGATGCCGAAATAAATCAGAATAGAGTCAAAAGAACGAACGACGAAAAAGCAAACACACACACACATACTCAATCCATCGCAAATTGTTTGATCAAAGTGCGGGTAAGTAAAAATAAACAATACCGAAAAAAAGAGAGAAGAAGTGTGAGCATTATTCTCCGTTGCAAATGCTTGGATTAGGTTTTTTCCTGATTGTCGCGAACGTGCGCGCGTGCGAGTGAGAGCCATTAAGCGAGAGAATATGAGTGAATGAGCGGATGAGTGAATGGAAAAGTGTTTGAGTGAAAAAGAAACAAGAGAGCGACAGAGAGTGTGAGAGTGAAACAAAAGAGAGAAGACAGAGAAAGAAAGAGAGAGAGAGATACAGGGGAGAATGGTAGAGAAAAAGAGAGACAAAAGAGCAAGATAGAGCGAGAGAGTGAGAGAAAGAGAACAAAGAAAGAAAGAAATAAAATAAAAAGCAGCAACAGATTAAGAAGGTGAAGATTGAAAAGCAGAATGAGAGTAATGAAAAAAGCACGCGAACGAAGAGAGAGAGAGAGAGAGAGAGAGCGAGTTCAAAGACCTTGTGCTTGACCGTTCTCATGCAAACGAAAATATTTGTGTGATGTGTCTTTAGGATGGAAGTCAAAACAAAACATAGCCCGAGCAGCACCGAGAGAGATCAAATGCACATACATATCGAATGTGTTGCCCCGTCGTTGTTTGATACGATTCGTTCGTTCGTTCGTGAGCACCAAGCAGATGTGAAGCGAGAGCCCATCCAAACAATGTAACTATATATTAAATTATTGTGAATATAGTGCTGCTTTCCAGCCATCAACAAATAAAATATGTACAAGAGAAAAAATCACGTAAAAAGAATGCCAAATGTAAGACAAAGAACCAATGAACGAAAAAAAAACCCAAGCATCAGAAATAGCAGCAGCAGTAGCAGCAACAGCAACAGCACAATATTCTGACAACTTCGCCATGGCCATGCCAACATATATGCGCACGAGATAGGCACTTTGAGTCGAAGTCTTCGACTGCAATGTCTGCCCGATGATGAATTGTACGGCACCAAGAGAGAGAATGAGATTCGTTCCATGGTACACATTTTAATCTTACAGCATCCCATACCACAACAACAATAAAAACTCAACCAAGAAACGTACGAACGAATGAACGACACAACAAAAGAACAAATGTTGGAATATAAAATAAAGAGCGGCGGTTACGCTGCTTTTATATGTAATATATTTAAAGTCTTCCCGGGCCCCACTTACACCGAACACTCGACAGATACGCTGTGTGATCAATATGTGAAAACAGTAGGCCAGACCCAATATCAAATTGTCCACTGTAATGGGTTTTTAATGCAAAGTCGCGCACCGATATCGCGGTATGCACACAAAGAGATAGGATGCAGAGCGATTTTTTTTTTATTTACTTTCGTCGATGTTTGTTTATTGGCCTATCGATTCTGATGTGCATAGGTAATAACACCGACAATAAAAAAAAATTGGTGTGAAAAAATGGTCAGAATCATTAATAAAAGAATAATAAAAGCAAAAAAAGAGCGAGGCTAATCAAAATAAGATCAAAATGCAAAGAAACAATATAAGAATAATCAAAAAGCATAAAATGGAGAGAAAAGTTGAGAAAAAAGAAGAAAACCACGAAAATAGAGAGAAAATTATGAACAAAGTTACGAAATCAACGAAAATTTACGGCAGACTCCGAAAAATCGTTAAAAATCATCGTTCCATAATTGGAAAAACCAACGAAAATTGCCTGATAAAATAGTGATGCGTTGAAAATATGCTGCGGTATGGAAAGAGAGCAGCAGATGGCCAGTAAATTACAATAATATATTTGCGTATAGCATAGCTTTGAGCATTAGAACACAACGAAAATGGGAGTTTTTCGATCAATTTTGAGGCAGCAGAAAAACCGCGCACATTTCTTCATAAGTATTGAATCGATGGGCTCGTTCGATTAGGAAAAAAAGCGCACTACCAATTTGGTTTTTTTTTGGTTTTGTTTGTGATTTATCCAATGAAGCAATTGTAGTTCGATACGTACTTTATTCCATCCACACTAGAGGTGGAGATGGAGAGATATAGACAGCCAGAAAGAGAGAGAGAGGAAGAGAGACAGAGAGAGATGGAAAGAGGGAGAGCACTTGATCAGTGTTTAGATCTGAACGCAAGTGGAATCGCAATTTGTGATCTTCGACGGTGAAAAAAACCGAGCGATGCCGTTAAAATACAGCAACAACAAAAACAAAACAATCGCTTCATTTCACAACTGACCATTGGTGCATAGTCTGCCATCATGTTTCGTGTACTTGTACTTTATGCTACACCAAGCATGTGCCTAATTAAATCGATGAATAAAAATGATGGCTTAAATTTTTAAGTAGAAATAGAAATAACCGAGTCATCGAGAAGAAAAACAAACAAAAAATCATTTCGAGAGTCGTGAACAGTTACATTTCGATTGAAAGCGCCCAAAATATTTTACGAGCCGAGTGGCTGTCTTATTACAATGACCTTTTTGCATATCTAGCCGACCTGTCAGCTATCGAAATGCTTCGATCACAATCAGAAATGAAAAAGTGAAAATCATGTGGCAAACACTTCACTGCGACCACTGCCACTGCCACCGCCACCTTCGTCGCTGTTGCTGCCGCAAAACCCCATAACGTTCGACAATCATCATTATTGTGCCATTAAACACAAATTTGCATACAATGAAATTTTGAAAATAAAAAACAAATCTAAACGAAATGTACGAAAAACCCACCGATTCGGTTTACGACTGTGCAAATGTAATGCACGCGAGTTATTTGAAAGGATTTTTCGTTTGAATTTCTATGATTTTTCGTCGTATTTTCCTTAGTTTTAGTATGTGTGTTTTCTTTCAGCCGAGTGAATTGCTTGTATATTTTTTACGACTAGCAAAGTTGTAAAGACTAGTTTTCCGGTCGATGTCGTTAATTTGGCCGTTGCATAAGTTCATATCGACTATGAGTTGGCATTTCCATCAGATGGTTCTGAATGCTTTTTTTGTTGCAAAAAAAAAAAAAAAATCACGGCAAAAACAAAACGCATTTGAACCGCTATTTCTTTTCTTCAAAGTGATTAGCACATCGAATTTCAAAGGATTTTCCCCGCGCGCCCGTCGAACGGTGCGCATCGTAAAAATAAGCACATATTCCATAGTGTTATGTGTTTCGAGAACGTAAAGTCATTTCACAACAATGTAATGACTGATGGCCAATCATTAAAATGGCGATAAAATTCAAGCTTATCGTGTTATGGCATGAAGAAAAAAACGCGCACACAATACCATTTCGAGCAGATGGTCAAAATATTCAAGAAAAAGAAGAAAAAAAACGGATTTGATGACCATTTTTTTAAATTAAATTTTGGCATGACTCGTTGAGGTATTTTGGTCAAAATTTTATTAATCAGAAACAGTGTCGATGGCAAACGAGGCCCATAAAAAAACCACGAGAGAGAGAGAGAGAGAGAGAGAGAAAGAAAAATGATAATTCATCTAATGGTCGAATAACGGTAAACTGGGCATAAGTACTGGATGGAGTTTGGGCGATGTAGGTTTGGCTGACGATTCCAAAAAGCGTTAGCGCATATATTCAGAAGAGCATGTAATTAATGCAGATTCCAACTCGTTATACATTCATAGAAAGAGATTTCATCAGTCACATATCTTAGGCGAGAGAGGGAGAGGAAAGCAGTAACAAACAACAAGCATTTGCTTTCGGAATGAGCAGCAGTAATAACCGCAGCAATATAAGTGGAGGCGAATGAGATATAACTGACCATCCATTTTGACGTCGGTGTGATGGGTTCTTTCGGTGTGTTACGTCAATCAGAAAGGTTGGCTGTTGTTTAAATTAATCATGCGATATGTACGTGTGGTGCAATCTTGTATCTGAAGCAGCAGCAGCAGCAGCAGCAGCCAACACCAAGCAGAATGTTCCACGAATATAATTTAATTGGTCGAACCAACAACATTGTTTGCTTACACGTTTTGCTACGGTCTGTGCTTCACAGAACCGTATGACAAATGTTCCCGGAAATACGAAGCCGTGCTATAAATAGATAATCATGCGAAATAAATGCACGTCCGAGCATACGCCCAATTCCAATTTGTTTATCACACCCGGACAGTCCATTGCCTGAAGACGTGCTACCGTTGCAAACGAACGCACATTGAAACGCCATTTCGATGGCCGACTTTTTGGTTTTCATTCGTCGATTACTGTATTTTAGCGACAATTAATTTGCACAATCATACGAATGCACGACAAAAACCACGCGGTCATACCTCGTATATCAAACTGATTTTTATTATGGTCGCAGTTTTTACCGATCATTATACGCTTGTGGCATCCAATGGGCCACGAATCACTTTAGAACTAAGAATGCGAACAAGACGCAAAAAATTGGCTTGATTCTACTTACGTGAATGATTTGGAATTTGTGCTGACTGCGCTATTTTTATGATTGCCTGAAATACGAAAAGAAACACGAACACAAATTATTACACTGCGAAATTAATGTGTGAAAACAATTTGCAGAGAGTTGCAATGGAGAGATAGATTGGATAGTAGGTGAAAAATGGAAAAAATAATGCGTTAGAATGGGTTAGAATAGGTTAGAATGCAAAAAAGGTTAGATAAAATGAATGAGAATGCGAAAAAACAAGACAGAATGAGTTAAAAGAGTAAAAATGAGTTGGATTGGGTAAAAATGAGTTAGACTGGGTAAAAATGCAATAGAACGCAATAGAATAGAAGAAATAGAAGCAACGATTCAGAGAGACCAAGCTAAAGCGAAACCATCGCAAAAGCGAGAGAGGTGGGAAAAAGGTGCGAGAAAGAGAGACAATGGCAAAGAATAAACGAACTAAAACGCAGTTGTGATCCCCAACTTGAGAATCGAATGTCGAAAACCTCTTGAAAATTCCAATTAGCCATGGAAATGCAAACGTTTGGTTTTGTGTGGTGACACGGAGCATGCTGTCACAGCTGTAAACGTATTTTTTTTTCACATCCCATTCGCACAAATGCGTTCATCGAGTGAATCTTGTTTGGGTCGAGTAGATAATTCCTTCAATTGAAAAAGTGCGATGCAAACAAAAATCGATGCGAGCATTGATTTTAGTGAGAGCGACCGAGTGAAAGAGCTCGACAAAGCTCGAAGAAAGAGAGAAACAGCTTGACAAAAACATAGAGAGGGAGAGAGAACTCACGCTCTAATGAAGTGAATAATTTTCAACGGAAAACAACGATGACGACAACACGACAAAACAAGTCAACAATGATAGAAGCGATCATCGCCGCGACAGTCGCCTACTGTACTGATGAATTCATACGCACAATACATTGGCTAACTGTTTTCAATGCTGTATTACGCGCAATAATATAATAAATGTTAAAAGGTATCCATTTGAAGAGATAACCATTTAATCGAAACCGTTTAGAAAATGTGAATAGAAACAGTTGTTTTGCGAACAGCAACAGCAGCGGCAATAGTGGCCCAAGACACTCATATATTTCATGTGTGTCACACTCACACAGCCGGGGACCTGGTTGGTATTGCACATGTTTGCAAATTGGAATCGATAGTTTGAGCAGCTTTGAGCTTCTGCTGGTGCTCACTTGCCATATAATTGACGATTATACAATGGATATTACGTACAAAATACGACATCATTGATTCGTTCGGCAACTATGTTGGTGTGTATGAGTGTTAGAATCGAAGTAGAAAAAACTATGGTTTTAGCTTTGGTCATGATGCATCCGCTGAAAGCGATTTAGAGCAGAAGTTCTATTATAGAACCAGGGCTCGAGGAGAATATGCCAGTGAATCGATGACGACAAACATTTTCTTCGCCAGTTTGAAAGTACCAGAGAATTGCAGCGAAGATATCCGCGAGTATATCAAGAAGGAGAAAAATAGTTTTCAAGCCTTCTGAGTGCTCACAGTGCATGCCATGAGTATTCTGTGAGGTTATTCAGAGCCAATTTTTCTTTCTGTTCCGTGAACAGTGCATCATTCCACGTTGAATACTTTCCTGTGCACTCACATACACACCAATGGCCGTGTCGTTTCATCCAACAAGCGACTAACAACACGGTTGCACTTTTGCCGAGCTAAAGTTTTATGTCGAGAACAAGTTATGTTGTGTTGTTTTTATTTCTTTTATTTCGTGATGTTTGCCAGCTCAGTGTTGTGTTGAACTTGGAATAGATCATGACATGGGCATATTGGGATAGATATAGTCTAGGCTGGCTTTGGATCGGCGATGCGATCGATATCAGCATAAATTTGAATTCATTCCCGATTGCAGCAAATAAAAATTGGGATCGGGATTAAATCGAAGCTACAATAAAATCGATCGAAACGATCGAACGATCGATGAAGCACCTTCTTTCATATCGTGTGTATTTCTTTTGCCTCTCGCTACGGTGCGATTCTCACATACATAAGCATGCTCATGTATATTTTGGATCGCGAACTGAAAATTATGCTCAATTTACTGCAATTATTATTTTGTGTGTTTTCCATGGAAGCAATTTGAGTTGATGACATGTTTGAAATTGGTATTACATCAATCTCTAGCGAGAATGTGTGTATGTATTTGCACGACGTTCACTCATCACACATTGGGCTGAGCGCGAGCGAAACGGGAATCAATGTGTACACGAAAACAAAAATGTTTATGGCATTTGCAATGAAATAAGCTCAAGCACACCTTATTATGGATAAATTAATTGTGACCAAAAATGTAGCGAGACAGAGGCAATGGTTTGTTGTTGCTGCTGCTGCCTATAGCCGGTGATGATGGTTAATGTGCGAACGCTATAGCAACAACATTTGCCGCCGTTCACACGCCGATTGTATGCAAACCACTGAGTGATCGCCACTGCTCGCAATTTTCGCACTCCAATCGTCCACGATCACAGTGCTTTTTTCAACTGTGTTGATTTGATTACGAACGGTGAAAATTACGAAATAGTTTTAATACACACCACGAGATGAAAATTGTGAGCATGCGCGCGAGAGGTTGTTTCCATTGAGGTTTCGAATATAAAGACGAAGCAATTTTCCCGGCCTGGCTTCGGACGCAGACCATATGGCTAATTAAATGTCAGCAGTGTGTGTGTGTGCGCTGTTATTATGATGATTTTATTGCGATTTACCACACACGGCACAAATTGTGTGAGTTTCAGTCAATCAAACTGTTAAATTGCTAACAGTTTAGAGCATAAAATGAGTCAGACCAAATCCAGAATGGGAAAAGCCCGCATCATACAACTCCCGTGACAAATCACCCGCTGCGTTTCATGAAAAACGCTAATTTTTCGCGATCTCGGTCTTTATTCTCTCAATCTCTGTTGTGAGCAAGCGAGATGCTCGCATTTGCCGGTTTTTCTCACCTTTCGCCGGATATCAAACAGGTAAAAAGCAGAAACAAAGAAGCAAAAGACGATGACAATGTGAACAACTTACGTGTAAGTGAAGAAAAGCGAAAACCACTGCATTGAACGCCATTATTATATCTGAAACGAAATTGGAAAAGAGAGAGAGAATGAAAAAAAAAAAACAGAATACAATCCATTAATGCTATGATTAGGCTAATTTTTACCGAAATATTTAATTAAACAATTTTCACACTTCTTTTTTTTTCTTCTCCCTTCTACTTCTATCTCTTTCTTGGTCTGTCTTAAAAAAAAAAAAGTCTTTCTGTTTTTCATCGGAATCGTCTTTCATTAATCGAAATGGTCTTTCATCTATCGATTCATATGAATCTATATAGTATGTGTCTAAGTCTTGATTTAACGAGTCAGTGTTTGTGTTTTATGTTCGAAAAGTGATTTTCTTGCAAGATCAACATCATTCCAATTGAGACTTCGCATGGATGGACCGAAAACGAAAAGCCACGAAAAACACCACCAAAATCCCATTCATCGTGATTACAATTTAAACGGTGTTGTGCATTCGCGTAACACCGCTTTGAGCCACACACACATACACACATCAATGGCAACAGGTTTAATCGTAGTCATCGTTGTTATTTTCCTCTTCTTCCCAATTAATGCTAGCTCATCGCTTTTAAGTTGTTTCCGATGCCATTCTTGAGCTGGGGCAACACAATTGCAAGAGCACTCTCGCTCGAAATGAACAACGGCGTGAGCGCGAGCTCGTTCGGAATGAATAAAACAAACCGTGGAAGTAATAACAAAACAAATGAAATAAAAATCAACCAAGATAAATAATGCAGAGAGAAAGAAAACTGAACGGACAGTTCCGAATTTGGCAATGCGACGGCAGTGATGGCGGTGGCGATTGTGTATTTATAACAAAAATAGTCGCAAGTGAATTGACGTCGTTGAGATGTAATGGGTGAGCATCACTTGCACTGTTTTTTTTTTTTTGCTTTTGTTTTCATTTTGTTTTTTTGCACGAAAGTCCCACTTAAAGCTCCAACATATTCAAGTGGATGAAAGCCAATAAAATTCACACGCCCAATTCGCGGGGACTCAGTCGAGCCTCGCGTTCCAAGTATTTCAACTTCGCGAGATCAACACAATGCTAAACCGTCTTTTCGCCAGACATATGTCAGCCTTGTAACATATAAATTACAATTTTCCCATTTCATTTATGGCAAGCACGATGTTTTCTTCTTCTTTTCTTCGAGATAAAGAGAAAAACGAAGAAAAAAAGACTATCCCAACGAAATTATATTACTTAACAAGTGGTGGATTTTGGGATGGAATTTGCTCTGCAATGGCTCCGAGAGAAAAATGAAGGAAAGAAAAAGACAAAGAAATAGAGGAAAATCCAACAAATTGTTTTGTGAATGAGTGAAAAACATTGGCTGTCACTTCATAAATAATATCTGTGATGCGAGTGCAATATTTTCATTGAAAATTGCAATGCATTTTGTTATTTCCATTTATGTGTGTGTGTGTCCATGAATCCCATTGAAAAGGTTAAGTTTAAAATTCGTTGCACTGAAGACAGAAAAACAATAGCTATAATATATATTCGTTATGCGCAGGGTAATTAAGGTGAAATGGTTCTACAAAATACGTAAAATTGCATTCATTTGTAATGCGCAGTGCAATTTTCATAAACAACATCACCGTCGCCATCGCCAACAACAACTTGAACCCCGACGTGATGGTTATGTTTTTGAATAATATCTGTTTTTTTCCATTTCATTTCGTTTCGCGTAATTCCACGCTCTTTAGATAATCAGGTATTGTTGCATTTGGCCATTACTTAAGCGAAATGGCAGCAGTGCAGCAGTGCAGCAGCACAGCCGCTGCCGTAGTTGTGGCAGCAAAACCATTCACCTAGACATATGTTGCTGTCTCTCTAGCAAGAAGCATCTTGCAACCATAGAAAATTCGCCAACTTTTATGATTATCGCTATGTTTGTATCCGTCGACCATTTGTTTTCTTTTCCTTCATTTCATATTCAACGAAATTTTTCGGGCGCTCGGGATATTGAATAACAAACACACGAAAAAAAAAGAAAGTTAATTCTTCATTTTTTTTTTATTTCTCTTCATCATCTGCTGCTTCTTCTTCTTCGCGTGTTAAAAAAAATCACACTGCCTCACAAAAATTAAAAAAAAACATTTGTCTGTCTTTTTTTCTCTCTGGATGGCTCGCTCGCACCGTGTAAAAGCGCTTGCACAATGGAGCAAACACATAAATAGCGAAAAAATAATAGTTTTTGCCAATTGGAATTTAGATGTGTGTATATTTAAAACGGGTAAATTGGCAATGAAACGAAAGATATACATTTCTTTTCGTTTACATGCATCATATTTGAATTGGTTTACGATGTGCGCGAGCGCACCCATTATGCCAACCCGGCCACACAACGCCGCGCTTCTTTGCCGCTTTTTTTCTCTTTTAATGTGATGATGAATATTTCATAATGTGCAAAAGAAGCAGCAACAACAACAACCACACGCAGCACCAACAAAAAGGTTAACCCAATAAACAATGCGTAATTTGAAATTCGATTTGGTGCTTTCGGATCTTTGGAAGCGGACGAGAGAAAGAGCGAGGAAAAGAAGCGAGAAAAAAATAGCGGGAAAGAGTGAGAAAGAGCGAGAGGTGGAGAAACAGAGAGAAAGAGATTTTCTCTCGTCGATTGAGAATTATTCATCGGGTCCATCACACACAGCGCACACACAGGTGGAATTGAAACCAAATACATTCGGTGTTAAATTGCAAAATTATGACCAAATGAAGCGAAACACATGAACGACATGCCGGTTCATGTATCGTCAATCCAAAACAATGGATCGATAAATGGGTTCTGCAAAATCGATGGAGATTGATCGTGTCGCGAGCGCGCTCATATGAGTGCGAACAGACCAAAGATGCTATCTTCCAATTGATTACAGCCTTTCAATGTCTAGCCAGCCGCATAAAAATAAGCTGTACAGCTCTCGCTCGTTTTAGCTCTAGTGACGAGAGCACAGAGCTCTGGTGACGAGAGAAAGAGATAGATAGGAAAAAAAAACGTGTTGAAAGTGCATTAAAAATCAATTATGTAAATTATTTTCAGAATCATGACGGCTCAAGAATTTGCTATATCGCATCGATTCCATTTTGTTGAGTGTGCCTTAGAGTGATACCTCTTCTTTTTCTTTTCTACTAAAGCTAAATCAAAACCCAAGCACAACACACACACACACATTTCACAATCCAAAGAACTCCAAAGAGAGTGAGAAGAGTAGAAAATATGATTACGACATCGAGACATTTTATTCCGAATGCGACGTACAGCGTGAGCAAGTCTTGAGTGAAAATCTGTGTACGTGTTGACCTTCAGCAACATAAATTTTTATGCTGCCTGCCTTTTTGTCTTTACGTGAGACGTTTATTTACGCATTTTTCACTGTTTGCACCACAAGCTCAAAACCCGATATTACGTGGCTGTCGTGTGTTTTCTTTCCCATTGAGATCATGTGTCGCACCACCACTCACTCACACAGAATCTTCGATCGAGATTCATTGCAATGGAACCAGATTCATTGCAACCAGAGTGCAGAAAAAGCAAAAAATGAAACGCAACTAAGCGAAACATATGTTTAGAGCTTCGATTTCTTGTTTTCTTTTGCCGATATCGCTGTTGTCGTGCTCCGTTTCGTGCATAATGCGCCGCTAAAATTGTTTAACCATCGCGCGTCCACATTGACTTCACATCATTCCAATTCCAGTTCTAATGCGTCCGTCGTCGTCGTCGTCGTCGTCAACAAATCGAAATTGTGAAGAAGAAGAAAAAACACGAGTCAAACCATAAAATTGGATGAAAACAACGTAATCGCACAACTCAATCAGAAAGGGAACGAGAGAAAAAGAAAAAAAAACTCGTCGCGAGTGTTCGTCAGCAGTTGACCAATATTGTACGACATGTACAATGACTCGCTGTTCGTCTCGTCTCACGCACAACATGTTGTCATTACAATTAGATTTAAACTCATTTGAACCGCAATTGAATTGCCAATTCAAGAATTTCAAATCAATTCGGATCATTCGAGTGTTTCAATCATTTCTTTGGTTGCGCCGGTTTGTAGACGATCTTTACGCAACAAACGGTTGGCGAAGTTGTATTGGTATATCTTGTGAAAAGGTCAGGTTCTTCGAAGAACGGATCCAATTCAACGGGAAACCAAGTTTGTATTCAGAAAACATCGAGAAAATTAAAAAAAATCATCAAAGTCAAAAAAAAATCATGAAATTCGAGTCTCGGAAAAAAATCCGAAGAAAGCGCCTTCATTGAAGAAGACACAGGTTCGTCTAGAAACCTTCCTCTTTCTCCATCAAAATGTCAAGTTTAAGGTCCTGATTTCAATTCCAGGCATCACAATTCTCGATTCAAAACAGACTTTTTTCGAAAAAATTCGAGAGGAAAACCTAAGCTGAACAGAAATCAAGCTGAAAACTCTTAACGAAGAAGTTGTTGCTCCATAACAAATCATTTGTTCGCAAAGAAGTGTGCTTCATCTTAATAAGCCGTCGTTGTGTTTTCCATCGTGTTCAAACATAAATCTTCTTCAATCAAGAAGCCCTTTGAATGTAATTCGGCACGAAATGAAATCCGATTCTCGTTAGCAAACGCTTCACTTCATTGATATTTATTTTTTGTTGTTATTTTTTTTTTCAGATGGAATTCAATTAATGTGTAAACAGTGAATGTGGCGTTACTCGTTCGACACATGAGTTGTAATTTGTGTTTAATTGTGATATAATAGCAAACCATTTAAACGCTAGCTCATTTCAATATCGTCGAGGCTACACGACGGAGTCGAAGCCGAACTGAATGAATTTTGAATTGCGATGTACACCGTATAAAATCCAGGCAACACAAAGATTTTGCACAGCAAAAAAAAATGGTATAAACATACACACATGGTATGTGCGCGCGCGCGAGTGTGCGTGTGTTCTCTAGACATAGTCGTCGTTTTGTGTGAGCTGTGTGTGATTTTGAGACGTAAAGCAGCAATGGCATTAAGTGGCACATTGATCGGGC